GATCCCGCATGCCTGGCAGAGGCAGTGGGTGACCTGTGCAGAGTTATCTTGCCTCCATCAACTTGGCAGTGGCAGAGGGGACTCCAAATTGGGCAGCCCAAATTCCAATAGTGTTGGGTGAAGTCCTCAGGCCAGCCACCAGCATGCTCTGGGGACTTGAGCACGTGGGTTTGGGGTATGGCATAAGTGAAGCCAAGCAGGGACCTGAGGGTTCATGTGCATGTGAAGAATGACTACTGATGGACATCTATAGACAAAGCCACTGTTTTTGTAGGCAAGCGAGGGTGCTGAGACCAAGCAGTTTGGAGGCAGGAACAGGAAGACCTTAGAAATCAGACCAAGGGCCTAGCACGGTAGTGAGTAAAGTCCTTGCCTTGAACGCTCAAGATCCCATATGAGCACCAGTTCATGTCTCAGCTGGTCCATTTCCCTTCCAGCTCCCTGCTTGTGACCTGGGAAAGCAGTAGAGGATTGCCCCCAAAGCCTTGGGACCCTGCATTTGTATGGGAGACCCAGAAGAAGCTCTTGGCTCTGGCTTCCTATTGACTCATCTTTGACAGTTGTAGGTACTTGGGGAGTGAACCAGCGGACAGGTGACTTTTCTATCTCTCCTTCACTCTGTAAATCTGACTTTTCAATAAAAATAAATAGATCTTCCAAAAAAAAAATAAAGTCAGACTGAAGCACCAGTGCACATGGGAGACCTGAGGTGGGGTAATTAGTAGCGACCATCACTGACCACTGTTCACTGGCACACATTAAAGCTAGAGCTAGCAGTCAACCTGGCAGTGCTAGATCACAGTACTTACCAGTGAGAATGAGAATAGGAGGCAAGTAATGTTAGGCTGGGCCATGATACTAACCAACAGGCTAGAGAACCAGGTTTGGGGGCAGGATATGTTGGGAGGTAGTATGTGGGCTCACTGCTGTGCAACTGCGATCTCTGCTGGCACATGCAAGATTTGACCTGACCCGGGTCAATAGGCTTGCCTGTGTAGTGGGTGCTGAGTCTGAGCCCCAAGGGTGGGGGGGTCTGGTGGGGCCAGGTCACCTGGCCTGGATTCATAGGCCCATCTGTGTGGTTGGTTCTGGTTCCATGAGCCCTGGGGGCAGGGGGTTCAATTGGTCCCGGTTTGCCTGGTCCAGGTCCTTGGGCCTACCTGCATGGTGAATGCTGGGACCATGGAGACAGGCCTGGCTAGGGAGCTAAGAGGATACCCTGGCTGGGTTGGGGTTCTCACCTGTGAGCATGAGAGCCAGAATGGAGACAGCAAACTGGGCTGGACATGGCTGCAGTCTCCCTCAGTATGAATGTGGACTGGGTCTGGAATTGCCAGACTAGACTAGACTCCAATACCCACTGGTGCTCATGAGAGCCAGGGTGGGTGTAGGACAGGCTGGACTAGGTCTCAGCTCCTATTGAACCACATGAGATGTGTATCTGGGCGTGGACCAGATGTGCCTGGGCTGTAACACCCAACAGTAAAAACAGGAACAGGTGTGGGCCAATTGGGCAAAGATACTGTTCCCGCCAGGACAAGAGGAGGATAAAGTCAACCTGGTCCAAGGACCACTGGTGTGTGCACGATCTGCCACTGGGAGATCTGATTGAGGAGTTTGGGTAACTCCTTTGTCAGGACACAGTCCCTGTAGGTGAGTGCAACAACCAAGCAAAGTAACAGCCCAGACCATGGCAGGTTACAGTACCCACTGGCATACATGTGGGTTAGATCTGGGAGTGGGCCAGGCTAAGCCAGTTCATAATGTCCACTGGAACATCTGAAACCAGGATGGGGTGCAGGACATGACAGGTCAGGTCACAACACCAACCAGTCCATATTAGGGCTGGGACTGGAGGCTGGATGGACTGGGCTAGGCTGCAATACTCACTAACAGGAGCTGGAACTGGGGATAGGCTAGACAGAGCCAGGTTGAAGCACCCAATGATGGATGCCGAGGTGAGGCAATCCATGCTCATCTGAGTGCAATGAGTGCAGGTCTGTGAGCCCCGGGGGCGGGGGACTTGTGGGGACTGGGTTGCCTGGCCTGGGTCCTTGCACCTGCATGTGCAGTGGGTGCCGGGTCCATGAGCCCTGGGATTGGAAGGTCCAGCAAGGCCAAGTCACCTGACCCAAGTCTGTAGGCCCACTGGCACTGTGGGCACTGGATCCATGAGCCCCAGGGGCAGGGGTTTTGGTAGGGCCTGGGTCACCTGACCAGGTCTGTGAGCCCCAGGGGTAGAGTGTCCTTACTCCCTCCTATGCAGTGGGTGCTAGGTCTGTGAGCCTCAGGTTGAGAGGGTGCTTCCGATGGGACCTGGGTCACCTGACCCAGGTCAATAGGCTTGCCTGTGTAGTGGGTGCTGAGTCTGAGCCCCAAGGGTGGGGGGTCTGGTGGGGCCAGGTCACCTGGCCTGGGTTCATAGGCCCATCTGTGTGGTTGGTTCTGGTTCCATGAGCCCTGGGGGCAAACAATGCTACCTTTCACCACCAATGCTCAAGCCAGAACCCTAGGCCTCTTCAAGTCTACTCTTTCCTTGACCCTGTTCCCATCTCATCTGTCAACTGGTCAAGTTGGAGCTACCTCAAAAATTTCATACCAACTCCAGTCTGCCTGTCTACTGCTGACACCTGAGCCACTATCACCTGTGGCCCAGGATGGACAGAAATGGGTTGAGATTTAGCCTCTCCACTCCCCTATAAGCAGCAGCAGCAGCAGTGACTCCATCTCTGCTCAGTGGATGATCAAGTATAAACCTCATTGTATCAAGGCCTCACTTAGAATTAACTGAAAGTCTCTCTTCCCACCCAACCTGTCCTGGCCACAGCTGTGCTGAGTTTTTCACATGTTGCCTTCCCTTGCTCTTCACACTCAGCTCCACTGGCCCTCTCTCTGCTGTTTGAACACACCAAGCTCCTCGCCTCTAGAACCTATGAACCCAATGCCTTCGCTCTAATGCACTCTGGCACTCACTTCCACCAGCTGTGTCTGTCACCCTCCCCTGTGTGACAGATGACTAACCACTTTTTGAAGTGATCATGTTGCTCCAGTGTTGATTTTCCTGCTGGTGAAACACAGTGTCTTATCTACAAAACCACCTGACTGCTCCTACAGAGCTTGCACTAGCATGCACACACACACACACACATACTACACAGCTCCATGGAAACCAAGATCTTATCAAGTAACAATAAACATTTTAGAATAAATGATTTGATATGCACCTTCCTGTCACTCATTCCCACAGAACTCATGGGCAAGAATAAAGTGAGCTTCTTGTAAATCTTGAGATTCAATCTCAAGCTTCTTTGGCTTCATGCAAGTGATTCCCTTGGTGAAAAACATCCAGTGAACCCCTGCTCATCTCTTAAAACGTTGGGAAGGAATACTCAGAGAGGATGAGGCTGGACACTGTTGAGGCAACAGAACAAGGGAGCCACAGCACCCAGTTGGTGAGAGCAGAACCAGGGGTTCAAGACAGCAAAGGCAGCAGCTTCTAGGATCCAGCAGTACATGTCCTCTCCACTTTCATCTTTTCCAGCAGCCTTGAACGTCACACAGCCAAATAGAAATTCAGATGTAAATGATAGGCATGTTTGTCCAACTGCTCAGTCCAAAAGTTTGGCTTCTCCTCTCAACATATCACTTCCAGTCTGCCAGCACAACCCCTATTCTCCATTTTCCCCTTTCTCATCCCGGTCCTCACCGCCCAGTCGCTTGACTGTGCCACTCTCATAATTCACTCAGCCTGCATTTTCCACACAGGTCTTCCTGCACACATCATTGTCAATTTCTCTGGCCTCTTTTCCTGCTCTTCCCTTCTGTAACACAGTGAGGAGACCGCAGACTCTGGAACAGCTGTGCCATTCGTTTAACTACATGATGTAGGGTAAATTATTTGATGTCCCTGTGTCTCCATTTCCTCATATGGAAAATAATGCTGTTACAGCTGATGATTCCTGCCTGAGCTGTTGCAGGATTAAAGCAGTCCTGGAAGCAGCGGCCAGCACATGGGAGCCTACGCATACACTTGTGGTTTTCAATTATTTTATATCATGTACCGTTAAATTTGAAAAACACACAAGTGAGCATGAAGAAAGCTTAAGGAAGGAGAATACACCTGTAGATTGCCAAAACTAAGTTTTAAAGACCCATTTTTATAAAGTCTTTAACTGTATTTGTGGTGGAATCTTCCTTTGCCCTTTAACATAAGAAGAATCAGAAGAATTATTTTCATGAGTATTGGTACTATTGTACTGATCTATGGGTTAATAAGTTAAAACACACATACATACATTAAAAAAAAAAAAAACAACCCCATGGGCCCAGTGTGTAGCCTAGCAACTAAAGTCCTCACCTTGCACCCCCCAGGATTGCATATGGGCCCCAGTTCGAGTCCCAATGGCCCTGCTTCCCATCCAGCTCCATGCTTGTGGTCCGGGAAAGCAGTCAAGGATGTCCCAAAGCCTTGGGATTCTGCACCCACATGGAAAACCCCTAAGAAGCTCCTGGCTTCTGGCTCCTGGCTTCAGATCCACTCAGCTCAGGCCATTCTGGCTGCTTATGGAAAGAATCATCAGACAGATTTTCCTCTCTGTCTCTTCTGCTCTCTGTATATCTGACTTTCCAATAAAAATAAATAAATCTTTTAAAAAAATAAAAAAATACATATATATTATATATGTGTGTATACTCACACTCACACATAATGACTGCTTAAAATTTGCTTTTATTTATTCCTTCCTGGGGTTAATCACATTCCCCTGAGGAAAGTAGTCGTGACCTCAAGGGGGATCAAGTGAAAATACAGATGTTGACTTAGTTCACTCCTGAGAAGGAAAGAGCCAGGGCTCTGCCAAGCACTTGTGGAGTGTCTGTGGGCGGGCAGAGAGCCCTGGCTGGCACTCCCCGTCTCTTCATGTGGCTATAAATCACCCTGCCTCAGTCTGCCACTGTCAGCTTGGGCAACCAAGTAGTTGTTCTAACGTATCTTGAAACAAATCTCTATCCTGATCTTGGCAAGATGCCTTCCCGTCAGAATTCTGATGAGCTAATATTTTTTGTGAATGGAAAAAAGGTAAGTACATTATGTGGTTAATATGGATTTTCATATGTCAGCCATAAAAGCCAAGCTTTTAATCTTTCCTTCTTTCTTTTTCAAGTGGTAGAATCTTGAACATAAACCATTAGTGTAAGTCCTGATTGCAAAATTGTTAAACTGTGGCTGTCTTTACTTTAAAATCAGTCAAATTGTTTTTATCATATTATACTGTGAGTGAATTTTGTCATTTTCCCTTTGAATTTTAGCTCTGCTTGAGATCGTCAAAGCTGTTTATTCTATGGTGATGTATTTATTTTTATTTATTCAATAAAGGTGAGAGAGAATATGACAGGGAGACAAAGGGGGCTACCATCTGCTGGTTTACTCCCAAATGTCCATGAGAGCCCTGGACCAGAGGCTCAAGCTGCTAGCCTGAATTCAGTCTGGGTCTCGCATGTGAGTGGCAGGAACCCAGCCACTGGAGACATCATTTCCTGCCTCCCATGGTTTGTATTAACTGGAAGTTAAAATTGGGAGACAAGTCCCCTGATGTGGGATGTGAGTGCCCCAAACAATCTCTTAAGCATTAAGCCAAATGTCCATCCCAATCAATGTTGTTTTAGTAGAAAATTCAGTAGAAGACATCAAGGATGACAACAACGAGGAACTCTCAAGTGATTTTGTTTTGCTTTCATAAATTGCCCTCCTACAGATCAATTAATTTCAAGGCTGGAATACCTGCTGCCTATCCACTTTCTCTGTCAGGAAAGATGTGATAATAAATGCTTTGCCCATGTCTTATTCTCAACCCTGTGCTTTCCTGAGCAAAATGAATAAACGAAACGTTTCAGGTGTTAAAGATAGGATGCAAACCCCAAAAAGCTATAGAGTGTGACATGCTGCAAAGCTTCTGCTTCTCATACTTACAAGGGATTACTGATGTTCCATCTGAATGAGGAAATACAATCCTAATAGAGCTAAAAAATTATTGGGATTTTTTTTTAGTTTATAGTTTTGATGATATTTACATAGTTGACCAGAATGGTAAGGGTGGAGGACCAGGGGAGTATGGGTGAGATCACTGTTTCCAAATATTCCCCCTCTTACTCCTGAATCTGGGGGAAAGAGGGAAATTAGGGCAGAAGGTACAGCTAGCCTCTCCACTGCCTGAATACCCAGGAATTGGGAATGGCCACCTGATGCCATCCCAGAGTCCCCAGCGTGGAGCCTGCTCTGAGGGTTCCGCTCAAATAGTTTCAATAGTTCTGAAATGCTGTGGATCTTGCCAATTCTTGGGACTTTTATCAGTCTAGTTGCAAGGAAATGTCATTTCCAGGAAACCTATAAATAATAAACACAGAGTGAAAAAGAAAGGAACAATGCCTAGATTTCATGATCTTGAATGACCTGAAGCCATGAAGCAACAAAAGTAATTCCTAGAATTTTGAAATAATTCAAATGGAAATTTGAAATAATTCAAAATCTCAGACCATATTTGGAATGGGAGGCAAATTCCCTTGACTGTGAGGCCTTTGCTTGTAAACAGTGCCCTGGAACTCCCAGATCCTTGCCAGGCTCCAAGATGCATGAATCCAAAGCCAACATTTTGGTGCATTTACCCCTTTTTCTGTTTTGCAAATTTCAAAGCAAGTCAGAAATAGCAAAAGAGGAGAAAATATAAGTGAGCCTGAAAAGAAAATTGTTGTTGTTGATCTTTCCTTCATAGCAGGCATGGGCTAACCAGGTAGCCCCATCAATGGTTCAACAGCATCACAGCCTAAGCAAGGCTCCTCTTTCATTTCCTTTGTAGTTCTCTTCTTTGCATTCTCTATCTTCTTTGTTTTTCTCTCCCAAGGCACACACTCATGTGCATTTGAGATCTATATCCTTCCCATCCACCAGATACAGATGTATCTTTGAAATATATCCAATGTAGGTATACAGTCTTGAGTGTTCTTAACTCACACAAAGGTGATACAGTTTATAACTCTCTTGCTTTCTTTGGCAATTCAGCACTGGTTTTGAGTGCTCTGTGTTGCACTTTAAAAACCTGATTCTTTACTCCTGAAGGCACAAATCTCCCATCTGCACAGCTTTCGTCTGCCAAGTCATGGCACATGCTTCCAGTTCCAACCCCCCCCCCACACACACACACGCACACACACACACACACACCCATGACAAGCCACGGTGAATGAGTTCTCCATGCCTCCTCATGGTGCTGGCAGGAGAATTACTGTGTGAGGTGGCAGCAAGACTGCAGAGGTGCTGCCTTCCAGAATATCACACAAGTTCCAGTTCCCAGGGTGTGGCAGTGCTGCCTGCCAGGATATAATTTGCCAGTGTAATAGATGATTGTCAACACTCGATATAATCAGACTTTCCACACCTCGCTGAAGCTGAGGGATGTCAAGTGTTGCTGGCTCTTGGCATCATTTGCATTTCTCTGCTTCTATTAAGTTGCTCTTCTCTTCCTAGACTTGACTCCAAGGAACATATCCCTAAGTGCCAATTTGTTTCTTTTAAACAGCTAGAAATAGTAGATATTTGATTGATCAGAAGCTGTGACTCACAGTTGTAAGTTTCCCAAGGTCTGATCTTAGCCTTTCTCCCTTATCGGGAGGAGTCCTATATCAGACTTGCTTTGTCAAAGGCACAGTCACAGTGGCAGGGGACAGAGCTCCATCCAGTGTGGCACTGGTCAGGCTGCTAAAATGCTTAAGGGACATGCCCTATTACCTGGGATATTGTGTTCGAGAAGCTGATATCTTCATAGCAGAGAAGAGCACCCACAAGCCTTCTTCCCAGCTCCATCTTGTTCCTACCAGTTGGAAATTATTTCCACAGCCACATGACTGTGGTGCTAAATAGAACAACACCACAGCTTCTTGCTTTAGTGCTGCTGTTCTCAGTCTCTGCCACGTGCTGAGCTGCAGGGAGGAGGGGTGCCAAAGGATTTGGAAGGGAACATGAAAATAGGGGGTATCACGTGAAGAGATCATGCAATCCATTGCTTTTTCTGAGGTGATCAAAAAAATAATAACAAGGGGCCAGTGCCATGGTGTAGCAATCTAATCTTCTGACATATGGTTGCCAGTTCAAGTCCCAGCTGCACCACTTTCCATCCCATTCCCTGTTGAGGTTACCTGGGAGGGCAGTAGGGAGTAGCTCGGGTGCTTGGGCCTTGTGCTCATGTGGTTTGCCTGGAAGAAATTCCTGGCTCCCAGATTCAGATTAGCCCAGCTCTGGCTGTTGCTGCCATTTGGAAAGTGAACCAAGCGGATGGAGGATCTCTCTGTCTCTCCTTCTCCCTTGGTAACTTTATCTTTTGAATAAAAATAAACAAATCATTTTTTAAAATAGCAGAAACACTCCTCGATGGAATAAACTCTGGTTTTTCTGGCCTCAGTGTCACTATCCTTCCAGGTCAATTTCTTTCCAACTCACCTCCCTGTAATCTGGCTTTACTTTGCCCAGTAGGGAGTTGCCCATGTACCTTTGAGCCCCTGGAGGGCAGGTGGCCTTCACCTGGTGGGCCAGCTCTGATAAGTTGCCAACTAGAGCTTGTCAAGAGGCACAGTGATGTGTCCTGATTCTGCCTTCTCTTCACATTAAGGAAAGAGGAGGGAGATAAATGGCTTCCTGAGGTCACACTGAGTTAGTGGCTGAGGAAGGGAAGCAAGACCCCTTAAAATCTTTTTTTTTTTCTTCTGGCTATCTTATTTTTGTTAGCACATGCAGACAGCTGAGTGTGAGCAGAGTCCAAATGTCCAGGGAAGTCTCAAGCACTTTCCATGTTAGAGTAACTCAGAAACTACAGACCTGGAGGATGTTCCAGAAATGGAAGCCACACCATGAGCCATCTCATTCCCATTAATTAGTCTTAGACTCCTTGTAATATCGTTAGGGTTGAGATTTCAGCTGGGGCTCAACTCCAAAATCATCTGAGAAGACCTTATTAGGAAAGAAAACAGGTGGGACCTTATCCAGGTAAATCCCACTGCATTCCAGCACTCTATTCCTGCCCCTTAATTATTCCTGCCCCTTTATTGCAAGATAAAGATGAAAGAGGAACCTTCCCCCTCCCCAATCCTCAGGACATATGTCCAATCAGTCCCCAGAGCTTGCCCACTCCCTCTATCTTGAAAATGTAAGTTCACTTAGTGATAAACTTTGCTTGCTTGCTCCTTTAAAATTTAACCCCAAGTATCTAAGAATTCCCTCTAGGAGTGACGTCAAGAAACCTAGATGTAAATTTTCAGGTAACATTACCACATTTCTCTCGGTCCATTTGGGAATCTGTGACTGTTCCCATGTGAAACTTTTCAACCTAAGTCTAAGAAAAAAAAAGTATTCATAGATAAGGAGGTTGTTTTTCAAATTCTAATCCATCCTTTCATGGTACACTTGCTTGGAACTTTGCCATAACTTGTCTCTCTCATAGCCTGAGGTATTGCCATGGTGTATAATTATGTGTATTTAAAAAATCCAGACGAATTGAAATAAGACTCAATGATTTTCTTGACATTTGTGCTTTCACATGTTGTGAAAGGTTTCTCTTGTTATTTTTTTTTCTTGTAAATCCACCTCGTATTTTTAAAAAATGCCCTCAAACAATGGATTGAATTGTCATCCTATGCCAATACTATCTTTCTGAGGTCCCTTCTCTCGCCTCACAATGTAGGTAATAGAGAAGAATGCTGACCCTGAAGTAAACCTACTGCAGTACCTGAGGAAAGTCCGTATCCTTTCATGACCCAAGAATCGATGTTGCCTGGGTGGTAAGACATGGACATGCCAAGACTCTTCAAGAAAGCTGTCTGTATTTGCTCTTGGTAAAGGCCTTGCATCCCATTCCTCAAGTCTAGTCAGAGTTCAGAGACAGTTTCTGTTGATCCACATTTTATTTGTTATGTTTTTTATCTGAGCAAAATGAAGAGTCATTGGATGAGCCACCAGTGTGTTACTCTAGAAATACTGTTGGATTTTTTTTTTGTATTTTTCTTCATTTATATAAAGTGCTCAATATAGGTTTGGGATCATAGTTACACTTCCCACCCTACCCTCCCTCCTGCCCATGTTCCCCACCCATTCTCCTTCTATGTTTCTCATTCTTTTTTCTTTTCTTCTTTTTTTTTACAATGGCAAATTTTCATTTTATTTCACAATCACAAGCTCACACTGGGCAAAGATTCCAAGAAACAAGTAGAGACACCTGCTGATACTTCCTATTCCAAAGCATTAGTGTAAAAATTCCTAACCAAACTTGTGTCTATGCTCACAGGTGCAGTTTACAACACTTGTGTTCCCCAAGGATATTGTGTTGACTTCTCCTAAACCCCTTTATTCTTATATTTCATAGACCTAAGGAGTAGCAATGCACTCCCAGTTCCTGATATATGGTCCTGACTCCCCCACTTCTCAAAGACTTTAAATAAACCATCGGTAAATATTTATTCATGAAGAAGCTCTTGAGTTTGGGGAGCAGTGTTTAAACGAGACAAAATTGCACAGAATCATGTACCACATACCCACACCCACATGTGTATGTGTGGATATAAGTGGGCTTTTAAAAATTCATGGGATATGGGGTTAAAATTATTAGTTTATTTTGGTGCAAAAGTTTTTATTGTCATACATACATGGAAAATAAACATGAGAAAACTGTATATATTACAAAAATTTTACATCAAAATAAGCTTACACTTTTCATTTCATCATATAAGAGGTGAAAGCTGTATAAGTTCTGCACTGTAACTATCAAAATTATACCAGTGTCAATTTCCTGGCTTTGATGTGCATCAAAAAGATGCATCATATGTTATTGCTATATGAGATGTCATCGATTAGAAAAAAACAGTGATGGATGTGCAGTTTATACTATTTTTGCAACTTTCTATGAGATTATATTTCAAGATAAGTTTAAAGAAAATGGTCATTGAGCACCTGTGAAGTGCCAGACACTGTGTTAGGCTCTAGGAATCCCAGGATGAACAAGACAGGATTAGTCCCTCTTTGTATCTTTTTTGCATCCCAGAGTTCACATCTGAAGACATTAATTCATTTCCTCCTGTTCTTTTCATGCCAACCTTTTCTATACCTGATGCCTCATTTTCTTTCCAGACTCTCTTTTCTGAACAGACCTTGCTGCCTCTCCCTACCTCATCATTATACCACTCTGATTGTCCCATTTCCCATGTCAACATTCCATTCACAAACCAGAAAAGTCACCCCCCGCCCCCGCCAGCAGTCTTGCTGTCTCCCAGTGGCCACAAAATCCTATAACTCTTCTGTTCTATAATTTCTAAACCCATGACAAATTTCTCTAGATATCCCCAAATGAAGAAATCCATTATATCCAGAACACATTGGAAATTCACAGAATCCCAAGTAAACATGGTCAGAACCAGCCCTGGCAAAATCACCCCAGTTGCTCAATTCCCCAGCTCCAGTGTAGCCCCCTGTACATTCTTTGTTGGTCCTTAATGGAAGACATTCCAGATGAAAAAGACTTATCTGGTGCTTCCAAGTCCTAACTTCCTCAGAGTCAACAGCCCGGAGATGGGGTCATGGACACTACAAGGCACTACAAAAAAAATCACAAAAGTGTGAAAAGCCTCCACACATGTGTGCCTTGTCCCTCAAGTGGCTGGAATGGATATGTGTGGGTCCCCTCATACGTGTGGGTAGCCAGCCCGCTTCACTCACAAGAATTCAATGGCTCCTTTCCAAGAACCGTCTTGGGACAGGTTCCAATTAAAACAGGCTATCCATTGAATTAAAAACCTCAGCCTCCCACAAAAACCTCTGTCCTGAATGACTTAGGTGTCATTTCCAGGGTAAGACACAGTAGCACAGAGGTAGAATGTTCGCAACCTTGTCTCCCTTCCACTCTTCCACAACCCTCTCCACCTGCCCAAGGTCACAGGGCTGCTTGGGACCCACAATCTCCCTTTGAGTCACCACACCCAGCCCAGCTGTTCTGCCCGGACTTGCTGGGGCACGATCCTGTTTCACTTCTCCCTCAACACCAGCAACCTGATCTGCAGATGTGGATGAATAGCCCACAGCTACATGGGGCAAGGAGGGTGTGACAGGGTAGAGTTGCTTAATCTCCGTGAGATCCTAGTGCTCAGATAAAACTGAGATACTCTGTGTATCAAGAGTATCTCAAGAGCAGCCCCTAAACATTTGCCTTTGACATTCTCTTTGCTGTGACCTGGACATCTCTTGTGATTCTCAAAATAATTCATACTTTCTCCAACACCGGGCATTCAGAAGTGAGTTAGACAGACACAGTCTCTGGTCAAATTTCCACTTGAATGCATGAGATACACTTACACTAAATATTGTTCCTGGGTTATCTGGCATTTAACTGGGCATTCCACATTTTACCTGGCAAGCCTACCTGACAATGGGCTTCAGAAGGAGTCAACATAAGATGAAAATAACTGAGTCAGGCATTTCTGCAGAGGGTGTAGGAGGAAACATCTGACTAGCTGTTGGGTGATCGGACAAAACCATTAGTAGCATCCATTGTTCACATTATACTCAAGACAACTTTAAAATGCACATTACAAAGCTGTTTGAAGATATGTCAACATAAAAAGTGACCTCCATCTCTGAGTGAGACAGCACCTGAAGGCTTTACTTGGGAATTTTTGGCTACCAAAAAAGCAGAAGCAAAACAATTGCAATGTGATCCATGCCCCATTCAGTGGAGCCCTTTAGCTAAAGCCTGATCCAAGTGACTTGCAGTCTTCAGGGAAAGCCTGAACTCCCAGGGTGGAGGGGTAGGGCCCTGCAATGGCAGAGTGGTAGCTGTGGCTATGGGCAGCAGGACAAAGGAGGATGTGCAGCGTCTCTGATGCTGCTCAAAATCTCACAGCTCCACTCCAGCAATCAGGAGTGTCCCCATGTCACCTCCTCACAGCAGCAACTTCCAAGATGATGAATAGTTTTAGCCTCCACCCAAACCAAGTATGATCTCCACCCGTGAAACCCTTCTTAAACTTCACCATGAAAGGCTTCCAAGAAATCTCTAATGGAACCTTATAGAACTAAAGCAGGAGATTTACATAGATTGGTTTTTTTTTTTTTTTTCGCTTGAGAACATACGCAAACAACTTGAAACACAAAGCAAAAGGTACACAGTGATTGTTGACATGACTGGTTCAGGTTCTTAAATTAATTTTCTCTAATTCTATAAGAAGGTAAAAGTATAGCCTTGCTGAACCAGGAAAAGTTAAGCCTTCTGAGATTATTTTCCTAAGCTCTGTGCACAAACCACTCCCCATTACGTCCACAGCAGTGATATTATATGGGTCCATTATCCACAGCTCTGAAGTTAACAGAGTTTTTGTAACTCGGTTGAATGTAAACTCTGACATCTCCCTCTATGCAGTCTTCACATATCCTGCTTGGCATGACAATGAATATGGTTACTGAAGAAATATGAATGTGTTTGATTACAAGAGGCTGTCCCAGACCGACTCAGAGTACTACGCCATCACTTTTCTAAAAGCTGAAAATGGCTAAATTAAGATACATATCCAGTGTGGATATGTAAGGATTTCTTTGCATGCTTCACCAGTGAGATCAATTATAAGCAAAAAGCTGAAAATCTCTCCAAGCAAGGGTCTTTGGCCACCTTCATACAAGACACAGGAAACTGTGTAGCTTGTTGTCAGTATCCAAGGGATAAAACCAATAAAATTAAAACACTGGAGTCCCCCTTTTCCTTGACTTCCTCCCTCCAGTCCGTCTCACAGGAACTAAATATGCTTGCGGAGGAGGAGGTTGTGGAGCCTGCACCGTGATGGTTTCAAGATACAACACCAAGACCAAGAAGATCCAGTATCCTTTTGGTGGCCTAGACCGTGCTCAGGGAACACCTGGGAAGGGTGTGAAGCACTCCTCCTTCTTCTCTTGTGGTGTCTGATGCACTTACACAGCCTCTAAGCTACTCCTCCTAACACCTCCCACTTTCCAGATCTTTCCCACAGACATTCTTCCCATCACAATTTTTATCTCTGTCCAGCATGCCCAACTATTAGGGCTTCACTCTCCACTACCACAAAGTACCTCCTTTGTTTCTGAGTAGGAGATTTCAGGGCAAGGGTCACGCAAGAATTGCTTAGCATGAAAAAGTGGCAGTGCTGCTGGAAGATTTGGGTCTTCGCCCAAAGAAAATTTTATTCTGGAAGTTAAGCAAGACTCAAATCATGCTATGTGACTGAACCACACTTGCCTTCTCCTAAAAAACAAACAAAAACATAAATTCACTCGCTGCTATCTTGCAGGAATGAAGAAGGCATTGCCCACCATAAGTCCCAGGTTTTGTTCTTTCGGTGACTAGATGAAATGATATGGCAGTTGTCAAAGCTGAGAAGTTGTAAGAGGAGGAGAAAAGGAAGGGCAAGTGATAGGTTTAGCTGGGTACACATTGCATTAGGTATAATTATGGGAAGAGGGGATGTTCAACAGCATCCAGATAGACAGGTCTGCTACTTAGAGAAGAAGTCTCATGTGGTGCTGGAGCTTATTGTTACAAGCTATCCACATGAACAACAGCAACAATAAGGACAAAAATAACATGCATTCAGTACTTGTTGCACCAGCAACCGTTCAAAGCAGCTCACATGTATTATCATATCCAGTCCCCAATCGATTTTGAGATAGGCTTTACAGTCTTCTTAAAAGGAAACTGAGACAGACAATAGCTTGCCCAAGGTGTCATGGGTCAGTGAGTGGCAAGCAGATGTTTAAGCCCAGGCTACCTGGAAGGTAGCAGGAACTGTAGAAGAGTGTATAGGCATAGGACCCTATAGAATAACAGAAAGAAAAGTATCTAAAGAACGAAAGTCTCAAAATAAGACCAATAGGGCATAAACAGAGTTGAGGAAATCTCTGAATTGTGCTAACCCATCCTCAAGATTCCAGGGGTTCTCTTTACATCATTCTATCACAGCCATTATCCAGTAACAGCGTGCCTGGTACCCATCTGCTCTCTGCACGGGGCTGCGATTACCACAGTGGAAGGAGTAGGAAGCATCAAAACCAGGATTCACCCTGTGCAGGTGAGAGTGCAATGTGACCAACAACCAGACGTTGCTATGGGTACTCCACGTGGCCTTTCAGGCTCATAAATTCTCAATATGGAGAGTTGGGTGCTTCCTAACTAGGGATCTTTTGGGAGACTTTTTCAAGGTTCTTTCATCAATTTGAATATATCTTAACCCCAAGGAACTTCTCAACCCCATTATTTAAAATTAAATAATTTACAAAATAATAACAAATCCTGGTCATTTTGTTTATAGTACAAAAATTGGCAGAAGATAAAATCATGATATTTCCCCTGTCTGCACCACCTACCCTCATCCCTGCAATCAATTGTGAAACATTTCCAGTCAGGTTTATATACCATGTTGGAAATAGCTTGCTACCTGGCAGTGAAGTCAACACGAGCATACTTTCTTCTAGCATTAGAACATCTGTCCTTTCAGCTGAGCCAAAGGGGGAGTATTTGGCTTTTATTTTAGGAACATGCCATTTGGGAAATGCTTATTTGAAAACACTTGAATCACACACAAGCCAGCCAATGGAGCAGCTGGTTTGTGACCCAAAGGACCTTCCAGGTCATGCTGTCACCTTCACCCCTGTGGCAGAAGGGCTTTGTGTTCATCAAGTGACTTACTGAGTTTCATTTGAGTGTATAAAGTTAGACAGTCATATATGAGATAATTCCACAATGCTACTAAGAAATCCTTGACAACTGTCAGAACATTCATGAAGATGATGACATCACTCCATCAGAAGCTGCCAGATCAGTGGAGAAGAGCTAGCCAAAGATTATGCTAAATTATTTTCACACATGTGTTCATTCTGGTAACTATCTCATAGACATTACTGTTCTAAATTCAAAGAACTTGAAGAAAATGGCAAGTAAATTATTAAAGATCATTCAATTATTACATGGCATGAAGACCCAAAATTCACATAAGAATCATTCCAAAATATTTTATTTGCTCCTCTAAACTGTATTTTCTACTTCACAGAAACGGAAACCAGGATCTGGAGTAAAGTGACTTAATTAATATCCACCATTATACTTTTTTGAGGTTAAAAAGTAAAACACATGATTTTAAGAGATAAAACATTTTCCTTTCTGGGAATATCATATCTCACAGTCATCCTTGGAGAGTTGAATATCTAAGTTCTGTTGCCTGCTGGTGTGTAGGCAAGAAATTGCAGAGCACAGGGTTGGTGAGTGGGTGGTCTAAAACATAAACGGTGCATCATTTTCCCCCAGGAAAGACTCGCCAAGTGTCATGGGACACAGTGTGGCTTCTGCAGTCCAGGCATGGTGATGTCCATCTACACGCTGCTGAGGAACCACCCCGAGCCAACCCCTGAGCAGATAACTGAAGCTCTTGGAGGTGAGTCTTGTAGGTCCCCTGTGGAAAGGGCACAGGGTGGAAAGTGCTTAGTGAACCAGAGACGGAGACCTGGCCATGGGACAGCTTTAGGGGTCCTGGCACCTGAACAACATGCAGATGTGTGTCCTTAGTACCTGTCTTAACCCGAGTCTTTCCTGGAAAGGCTGCCTCTTCTTTGCAGCAATAATGCCAGGAATCAGGCAATTCCCTTCTGTATTACAAATTTTCCCCTCAGAGAAACTTTCTGTTACTCTGTCATGGCACTTAAATAAGCTGGATAGTGTGAAAGATAGAAACTTCACTCTGTTTTAAAATGCATCTGTTAGACCCATTCATGAACTTTCCTTACAAAACCAGTGTTGCAAAGAAGGAAGACTTTCAGATACTTCGCACTTCAATGCTCTCACCGGTTCATGACTAGATCAAGGAGATCATAGAAAACAACCACTTATCACGAACTTAGTGAGCAATTCAATCTCCTATAGCAAAAGAGCTATTGATTTAAACTAACAAGTACAAATTTCTGCAAAAAAAAGTTCCTTGTTTGGGGAGAAGTCCAAGCACATCTAAGTTAACCCTTGCCTTCTCTGGAAGCTTCAGATGCTCTGGGTACATGCACGAATGACCCTGCTCTGGGATAGATCCCGAGAAACACACAGGCGGGAAGTGGCACAATTCTGGTTGGGATGCTAGAACAGGACCCACAGAGAAGAGGCCCTGAGGCCTTGGAAGATAGGAGAGACTACATGGGAAAGGCTTGGCAAAAGGCTACACATGAAATGTTTAGGGGTGACAGGTGCACAAATTAAGACAGGGAAAGAAATAAGGCAGTAAGAATTCGTTGGGAGCCAGGCACACAAAGATAAATATTTCATGTTTTCTCTTATTTGTGGAAGTTAATACCTAAATAGAGTATATAAAAATTGTGTGGGTATCATATCATTTGGTATATAGTTATAAATATTGTTTCATTGAATCATAGCACATATATGACAATATACCCCGCTTTCCTGACATTGTGATCACTGCCATGAATTCCTCACTTTGTGATATTAGTATCTCTGCTTTCAAGAAAAAAATCGTATATTTGTATATTTATATAATATCTACAATTGAAATGAATTTGGGAAATGTTTTTTAAATGATTGAATTTTTAAATGAAAATAACTTTCATAATTCTTAAAGAATTGATTGGGGAAAACCATGGAGATCTTTGTGGCATTTCAGGGAGAAAGTGCAAGTATAACATCTATTTTGAAGTTATCAATAAAGGGACATATTTGTTCAAAGAACTTCGTGGCTTTAGGGAACAAAAAAAAATTATAAATCCTGTAACTATTCACTGCTAACAAGACACAAGGGTATGCAAAATATTTCTGTCATATTCCCTAAAACTTGATCCTTTTTTAATTTTAAAAAAAATTTATGAAACAGTTCCATAGACTAAATAATATCCCCACCCCACCTGACTCCCATCTCTCCACTAATTTCCCCTTATACTATTACGACAGTACAGTCCTTAGAAAGCAGTCATAAGTCCACCATTCTGCTACTCAGTGTATCCTGACATTGTAGATATAGACAATCTTGGTTCTTCTTTCACAGGTAATCTGTGTCGCTGTACTGGATATCGACCAATTGTAGAAAGTGGAAAAACTTTCTGTGTGGTACGTTAAAAAAAATAGAGTATCCATTTTGTTGGCTTAATACATTAACCAGCCTTTGTACAAAATAACCTATTACATTCATTCATCTCTAAAACAATCAGACTTTTCAAACAAATGAAAGCTGTTTAATGCCCAATGTGATCTGTTTTAATAAATGCAGATCAAGTAGTTTTAGCCCTCAATTTAACACATTCCTCAAAAGTGACCCGTGACTTCAAGAAATGCATATCTTAGTGAACAAGAGGAGGTACATAAATCTTGAAGTATATATTAAGTATATAAAAGCAAAATATCAAAGACTCATGTCCTATATACTCACATGTGCATTTTTGAAGGAATTTGGATTAAGAAGAATTCATGAATGGGAAGAGACAGTACAGAGAATGATCATAGGAGAAGGGGAATTTAGAACCAGAATCTAAAGATTAAGATAGAAGTAAATGACTGTGGAGAGGTCAGTGCCACTGAGACAAAAAAAAAAAAAGCAACCATGTGGTCACCTTACACCTTTTATCTCACTTTCAGCAGGAAGCTTGACCAGGCTGACCCCTCTCACCCTTCATCCCCTTTATGTTTCCATGAGATTTGAGGGACTGGTTTACAAGACGCTGTCATGAGTATGGCTGCATTTCTGCTGTTTGCTCTGATTGTTCAGTGATGGAATAGCTTGCTCTCTGCCCTGCCAGGTACTCAGGTAGTTGCTAAAGACACAACTGTTGAATTTTCTTCAAACTGAGTTATTTCCCAAAGGGATCAACTGTTTGTCAAGTGAAAGGAACAGGAAAATGTTGCATGGACCAAGAACAGACGTCTTCAGTGGATAGGCAGGAGGAAGTAAGTGTCTGGTTTTTCTACTTTGGTTGGAATTGACCAGAAAATGCCTACATAAACCCAAGCTGATTCCATTTTTGTATTCTTTTCAATGAGTAGAATTCAAAATAAGTAAATTCTTGGCATAAACAGCTTTTTAAAGTTCCGAACATAGCAGTGGGAACCAGAGAAGGTAAATTTTCTTTGGAAGCTTTGCAGCTTTTGGCACCTTGACCTGGGCTTGCCAGCTGCCAGCAGGCACAGAGGAAAAAAGCAGCAATGCACCTGCAGGCTCAGAACACAAAAAAATGTCTTCAAGTCCCCCCTGAGATCAAGCCTACACGTAAGGAAGGAAAACCAGAGTCCAGTTACCGGGGAAGCCATCCCATGGTCCTGTGAGGGTGGGATGAACCCCATCCAGTGACTGCCCAGTGGCTGCACACACACTTAGATACCTGCGTCTCTCTCCTACTTCTGAAGCTCTATTTGTGTTTTGTTTCATTAAGCTGTGCACCAAACTGTATGATGAAGACGAATTCCAGCCCTTGGATCCATCCCAGGAGCCTATTTTCCCTCCTGAACTGATAGTAAGATATTTTACTCTTCTTGTCTTGTAACACTGGATGCTATACGCCTTTTTGGAATTACCAGGTTCTAGACAATAGAAGTCAGAAGTGTGTGCCAAGTCACAATAACAGAACCATAACATATTTTTAGAAATTGTTTCATCTCTGTTCTCCATAATTGAAGCTGCCAGTGGGTAAAGTGTTGCTTCCATGATGTCAGGGACACTTGGTAGAAGCCCTCACTCTTCAGTCACAGACTGCAGATGACTCAGCAGTGTCAAGAAGCTGCACCGTGAGAGAACTTAAAGGCCGTCTGTAAAACCAGTCAAGTGAGAATGAGATAACACTTAGAATAATGGACTAACACTAGCCCTATGATTAACTGTCTGTGCTTTCAATTCAAGATAAAAACAGAGGAAAAATAATACACGTAATGTAATAGTCCCATGGTTCCATTCCTTAACTATTCCCTGAAAAGAAAATGAGGTGAGAAGGCTTCTCAGAAGGTCTCAGTCCCCACACATCTTTAAGTGTGTAAGAGCTTGGACACCCTGGGTGTGCAACTAGTGGAAATACTTCAAAATTATGCATATAGTATGTTTATATATGTATATATAGCAACTTCTATGTGTAATTACATATGTATGTATCTATATAATTATGTATCTACAGAATCATACAGGAAAAAAATCCAGGCACCCAGTTAACCTACTAAACTACTAAAAGCTTTTTTTTTCCCCCAAGGATAACTTTGCCTCTAGGCAACTTTTGTTCTACAGAAGATGAGTCTTTTCTGGGTTACTTTTAGAACAAATCTAAACAGGAAGCCTAGCAGTTAAATTCCAGGCCAAGATACTTTGACTATACCTTGTGGCTTCCTGTCCACACACTCCCTTCACAAACACGAATAGAGAGAGACTGCTCCATATCCGGTTGGTGGACACCTGTCAGGACATCTTTTCAGTGGTCCTCACATAGAGCTTACAGACGCACCACTCTTTCCAACCCCTGTTAGCAGGCTCTCCTCAGTAAACATGAATAGCAATCCACTTGGAAACCCAGTAATGTTCAAGAGCCCTACTTGAAAGTGGTGCTGACTTTGTTTCTGTACAGAGAATGGCAGAAGATCCAAATAAGAGGAGGCTGACCTTCCAAGGCGAGAGGACCAGCTGGCTGGCTCCTGTGTCCCTGAAGGACCTCCTGGAGCTGAAGGCCAGTTTCCCTGAAGCTCCCCTGGTCATGGGGAACACGACAGTGGGTAAGTGGGTGGTACCAGGGTCCTGAGTGCAGATTACATGGACACACCTGTGTCTCTTCTTCAAGTCTTCATTACTGCCATCCCTTTTATTACTGATATCTGTGGCCCCGATGAATGCTTTTTTGATAATATCTATTAGCATTCATTATCCTTTCTAGCTTTTCTAATTATTTTAAATCCTTTTTTCCCCCAAGGTCCCAACATTAAATTTGGAGATAAATTCTACCCAGTCTTCATATTTCCTCTTGGGCTTCCAGAACTGTATTTTGTGAACACCACAGAAGATGGTAAGCATGTTCTTCTTCAAATAAGATGCAACTGTTAGCTGTTGCTGAGCTGGCAGGGCTGAGTTACATGCACTGGGTGACTTCAAGTCAGCCCGTAGAACCAGATGTGTGTTTCTCAACCTTTCTTCACTATCATCCCACTAAAGAACGATTTCCCTCCATGGAGTTTAGTGCCACAGATAACCTGTATGTCTATTTATGTGCGGTGTGTCTCTCAGTGCTTTATAGAGTAAGATATTTCCATTCCCTTGCTCCCATGCAGACTGCATTAGTCAGATAACACCACTACTCTCAAACTATCTCCTGTTAGCACACCTGTATATAAAACCAGCCACAAATACAGGCAGGTGTCTATTCCTGCTATTTTAAAAAAAGGGGGGGGAGGAGCAGAGGACAATAAAATGAAATGACTAGGGAATAAATGCAAATAAGGAAGGCAAATTTTGCTTGTCAATTCCCACTGAGATTTTGATGATCCTTTAAAAATCTTATAGGGTTATGACTAGAGTCTCCATATTTGATCAGTTTATTCAGGAAAACCAAATGAAGTAATGAATTTTACATGGCAATGAAAAATGACTAAGAAAAATTTGGTGCTTAGTATTTGGGAATAAGAAATTCAGAAAAAAGAATTTTAGGAGAAATTGATTTTCTTTGGTTTTATCATTTGAGGTAAAAAAAAAAACGGACAGAGAAAATAAATTTAAGAAACTGTTGCCATACAATTCTGTCTTGTTACTTGTTACTTGTCACTTTATGTTTATAGTTTACTATTTTCTTTTCAGGGGTGACAATCGGTGCAGGATACAGCCTGGCCCAACTGAGTGATGCTTTAAAATTCATTGTTTCGGAGCAACCAAAAGAGAGGACTAAGACCTTCCGTGCACTCCTGAAGCACCTGAGGACACTCGCAGGAGCCCAGATTAGGAATATGGCTGTACGTTCTCTATTGTCACATACAATAAGCCACAGTTATGGACAGTCCTACAGTCCTATTCAGCTTAGCAAATATTGGGCTGAAGAGAAATTCCAAGTCAGTGTTGTGAGTGCCTGCTCACGGGTCCAGAGTGGGTGGCTGTCCCCAATTTTTTAATACGATTGTCCCTTAAACATCAACTTAATCCCCAGACACTCCCCCCAAAAGGTCCCTTGGCCAAAGTTGTGTGTAAATGGGCCTTTCCTGAAGATTTAAGACATGAGAGCAACATTGTGCTGAGTGGGAATTCTTTTCTGCCCAGTTCTTTAGACTCTCCCCAGGCTCTCCCTGCCCATCCTCCTGCACGCCTTCGGGCAGCATTTCTCCTCTTCAGCTATCTGTGCTCTTGTTCCTGACCTAGCAGAACCATCTGTCAAACTCCTGTTCATTTCCCCTGTTGCCTGTCTTCATAAATAAATATTCTATCAGGAATGTCTGACCAGAGACAGACATATAGCAGGCAGAAGTTTGGATGTGATCAGGGGCAGGAATGCAGCACACTTGTCTGAATCTATGTATCTGCTCTTAAACTCTGCCAGATCTTTCTAACAAACCAAGATACTTAAGAACGTATGTAGGATTCCTGTGTATATCTGTCAAATAACTATTGTAGCTTTTAAAATGTCATGTTTCTTTTTTTATTTAGACTTTAGGAGGCCATGTAGTGAGCCGGCCTCGTTATTCCGACCTAAATCCCATACTGGCTGCAGGAAATGCTACCATCAATCTAATATCAAAAGGTAAGATAGCAAGTTGAGCATTCTGCAGTGTTTTACACTTATCACTGTCTGTTACAGAGTTCTTGCTGGAAGCCATGAGCCAGAGACCTGGGTATATCTAGTTTAGAATCCAGCTGTGTTTATATTCACCTGGACCTAAGGATGAAACTGTGATCAGTGATCCTGCTCCCCTGAGGGTCTGGATCTTGTAAATCAGATTCTTTCCTGCACCTGACACTAACCTTCCTAATGATTTGCCCATATTTATTAGCAGCCCAATTGTCATATTAAAGCAATGGAAGAAAAATTACCAGGAGTCATCTCTGTGGTGTTAAAGATTTATGCATATTTTATTTTAGAGTCTTATAAAGATGGTAATTTTTCTTATTGGACTTTCCATTTCAAGTAAAAGTCAAGTTTATGGAGCATATTACTCATACTCTTTACTCAGAAAACATTTTGCTCTTTATGCAATGATTTAACTGTAAGGGCATAAAAGCAAATGTTTATGTTCCTAGGGCTATTGATGTGAGATATCATCTCTTGACTAAAATTACATTTCAAAAGCAGTGTTATAACTCAAGAGCAGGCAGACTGTTTAAGGCTACACACATATATAGTCTTCATTAGTGTTTTGTAATTTTCAATGTCTCAAATCCGGGGTTAGGTTTATTCCAAGGTATTAAATTTTTTATAATTTTGTAAGTGAGACTTTTCAAGTTTTTCTCAGCAAGGTCATTGCTGGTGCATAAAAATGACACTTCTTTTTGTATGTTATTTTATATCCTGCAATGTTGCTGAATTATCTTATCAGTTCTAATAGTCATTTTCAACACTATGTTAAGTGAAATAAACCAGATTTATTCAACAGATTTTCTCTCATATGTGAAAATTTATATATATGCCTGCATACATATATATAAATTTGTGGATGATGTATCATTTGATACATAGATATTTACAGACATTGCATTCACTGAATTTTATCCCTTACATAATAATACACTCTTCCTTCTTTATTTTATGATCCTTTTATGAATCTCTAATGATGTAATATTAATGTTCTTGCTTTCAAGAAAGCAATACATATGTGATTCTAATAGTTACATATGAAGCAAATATGGTGAAATGTTAAATTTTTAAAAATGAATTCAACAATAAAAAACAAATGTATAAATATATGAACTTCTGAAAGAACATAGAAAATGTACTGAAAAGATAATTTTATTCAGGTGCAAAAAATTTGGAATTCATGGATTCTAGATAGATAGATAGATAGATAGACAGATAGATAGATAGATAATAAGCAAGTTGCACTTCAGGATCTGTTATAAAACCTCTTTCCCAATCTTGTGCCCAAATAATAAAAATCTGTCCCTTTTCCACAATGGTTCACATTTTCCTGTATAATTTACACCACCTCTAGATTACTTGTCATTCTCATTATAATGCAAAATCTGTGTAAATAGTTATTAGACTGCATTGATTAGGGAATAATAAGGAACAAAAAGTATGTATGTCCAGTATAAATAATTTTTATTTTCAATATGAGATTATTTTAATCCTCAAGTGCGGAACCCAAACACACAGGACTAACTGTATGTGTGCGTAATGTGTGTGGATACATACACCCATTCTCCATGGTACAAGAGGTCTTCAGAAAGTTCAGGTTAGATGAGCAGAGAAAGCTATACGTAAACTTCTTTAAAATTTGGCATGAAAATAGACTTAGCTTTTAATTCCATTTTCCCATGAACTTTTTTAAAGTACCCATGTGTACGTGTGTGTATGTATGTGTGTGTATATGTATGTGTGTGTATGTGTTTGTCAGCCTCTAATCAGCTCATCCTCATTGAGGCCATTTTCTTTAACAGAAGGAAAACGGCAACTGCCTTTAAATGGCGCTTTCCTTGAACGGTCCCCTGAGGCCAACCTGAAGCCAGAAGAGATTGTGCTGTCTGTTTATATCCCTTATTCCACTCAGGTGAGGGTTCCTGGTCCCCATCCCCAGCTTCAGGGAAGCCTTGCTTGCCAGAGATGGGTCACTGGGGTCCTATCTCCCACTCCTCATCAACCAGGCCTAAGCCAGAAGCCCAGAACCCCTACTGGGTCTCCTACATGGGTGGGCAGGGATCCAGCTACTGAGCCATCACCTGCTGATTTCTAGGGCATACATGAGCAGAGAGCTAGGAAAGAAGGTAGAGCCAGAACTCAAACAAGGGACTTTAACATGGGATACACACGCAACTGCACCGAACATCTGCTGCAACTGTTTTATTCTCATATCAGCGACATATTATCATTGTAGTGGGCCCCAGGCTCTTCAATTTTTTTTAACTTTCCTCTACCATGGAAAAAAATGCAAAAATAAGTGCAATATGATTGTGTTCTTCTAAAGATGAATGCTATCTTGGCTGCACTGAGGGTTCTATCTTTATTACTATTATGTTTATTTTTCTATTTTTAAATAAATTAAAGTAGAACATTTCCATGGACTTCTTAAAAGTATGCTGGGCCCATCTCTGTGTCTAAAGGGTACGTTGGCTCTGCCAGAGGAGAACTTTGATGTGAGTTGGCTTTTTAGTTTCAGAGAAATAAGCCTGCTAGCCACAATTAAGTAAGTCTATACTCATGTCATCTGCAGCAAGTTTCTGACAAACTGGAAGTTCATTATCATAAACAACGTCCAAGTCTACTGACATTCATTAAGCAAATAATCTAAACAAAATTGCATATGTGTTAACCACCTCTCACTCCAGATGCCAGGTAAAATGCCACACCCAGAAGCCACTAAGAGAGTGTGTGGTCCTGTCTCCAACAAGATGGGAGTGAAGTAGAAAAAGCAAAAACAAAACTGAAAGCTACTCACCTAGCACAGGGCATGAGCAGATACAGTCAGAGCAGTTGTATCGAGTGGTTGGGCCCTCATTCGCTGGGGCAGTTCAAAGGGCAGAGCAGGCAATAGGGGTCAGACACAGAGGATGGGGGCCTCAGAATAGGTGGAGGAGGAGCAGTCACTCCTGTCGGGGGGGATGACGTGGGAGTGGGTAGTGGTGGAGGACAGCAGAGAGTAGCACAGAGAGGTACGACTGCATTTCACCAAGTATATCCATTTCTCCAGCAACAGTTTGCACCTGCTAACAGATGGCCGCCCTTAAAGGCCAAGGTTGGATGTAAGGATATTACCCAATAGAAAGATGGAGGCCAGTCAGCAAGCACAGTGGTGGAGCAGGCCAATCCTTCACTTGGGGTGCTGGCATCCCATGTAGGTTCCGGATTCTGTCTCATTTGCTCCATTTTGATCCAGCTCTCTGCTTATGGACTAGGAAGGCAGCAGAGGATGGCCCAAGCCCTTGGAACCCTGTACCCACATGGGAGCTCAGAGGAGGCCCTTGGCTCCCATCTTTGCATCAGCTCAACTCTAGCATTTGCATCAATTTAGGGAATGAACCAGTTGTTGAAAGACCTTTTCTCTCTGTAAAATCCACCTTTCAATTAAAAATAATTACAAATATTTAAAAGATGGAGGATACATTGATTAGGGGAGAACTGATACATGAAGGACCATGTGGGAGGCCTTGCAGACAATGAAGCAGGAGATGGAGAGGAGGGGAGTGGTACCAGGAGCGGAGAGGCAAGTCTCCCCATCAATATGGAGTGTGAATATGATCACTTGAGCTAAACTCTCCTTCATCACCAGTGCTTGCTATCTCAAAAGGGTCTCCTTGGAGTCCATGTATGAGCATCAGTCTCACCCCACTCCCTGCCACAGTACTGCACCCCTGGAGGCTTCCCCACTTCACAAGTCTCATGTTCTGCTCAAGTGATCCATTGGCAGGTGTACACTGAGACCACCAGGCCAGGGTTCTCTGGTGAAACTACTGGTTCTAACAGTTCTTTCTTGACACGGAAATTCTTTATTCAAACACAATTTGCACGGTGAACCTAAGGGAGATGTTCTATCTCCTGACCTTCCCCTCAACCCACTCAAAATTTTTGGGTCACATATGAAGATTCAGAGACAAAAGGTATATGGCTTAGAAATAAGTATAAACTCTGGATCCAGGCTTCTTGGGTTTGAACCTCAGATCTATTCCTTACTGCATGTCCTTATGCACGTTGCTTAACTTGTCCATTTCTCCTTGCTGTTTTGTCAGAATTCGATAAAATACACAGGCAGTACACAGGGGCAAACCTACATGCATTTAACACCGGGACTATTGTTCATGTGACAATCATGGGATCCTTTTCATTATACATCACCCAAGTTTTTGCTATGTGGCGGAGTGATGCTAAGCCCTAAACACTCTGAGTGGTTTTGTCTCTCCAGTGGCACTTTGTGACAGGGCTGCGTCAGGCCCAACGGCAGGAGAATGCCTCTGCCATTGTCAATGCTGGCATGAGTGTGAAGTTTGAAGATGGCACAAATACAGTCAAGGACTTCCAGATGTTCTATGGAAATGTTGCTTCCACAGTGGTGTCTGCCAAACAAACCTGCAGACAGCTGCTCGGGAGGTATGTGAGAGGGCAGTGGGAACAGGAGACCTGTTTTTTCTTTTTTAACTTTTAATAAAAATAGCACTTAAATGATTTTTTCTTGATGATTAAAACATGAAGAAATATCATAGAAAACTTGGGCTCTGCAAAAAAAAAATGTATAAAAACATTCAAGCTGCCCAAAAGCCCACTACCTTTATGGTACAATAATTCTTACATGGAAAGTTTCTATAACAAGATTAATGCACAAAAATTGATGAAGAAAGGGGGGCTATTGGATGTTTGGGTATCTTCTTGGAACTGTACAAATGGGATGCATGAAATCTATTCTCTAGATATTAACAACAGAGAAGAAGAAGAAGGATCAAGAGCGGAAAAAAGACTAATACCCCTCAGGGGTTGGTGTTTGGGGCAATGGTTAAGATGATGCTTGGGACACTCACAGCTGATCTCCATATCCCTGGCTGTGAGTCCTGAGCCCACCCCAGTCCAGGTTCTGCTAATGCACACTCTGGAAGGCAACAGATAGTGGTCTAAGTTATTGTGTCCCTACCACCCACACGGGAGATCTAGAATGAGTCCTCGGTTCCTGGTCCAGCCCTCCCTCTCTCTGTATAACTTTCAAAATAAAAATAAAAATAAGTAAACACAATTATCTTTTAAGTTAGTAAAGATTATAAAAACAAAATAATTACAAAAATAGTGCACAAATTACAGTGATTTAAGTAGATATTATCTTCAAGTGTTCATTTACACTTGACCTGTAAAATACTAAGTCTAATACTATACCCTGAAACATCTAAAAATGTCCTCTAACCACATACAGAAAATTAAAAGTGATTCAATGGTTCTCTCATTACTTCTAAATTTTTTAAATTATTGCAAAAATGTTTTTTAAATTATTGTAAGAAGTGGTTTGATAGCAATTTAAACCACATTTTCTATCTATTGTCATTCCTTAGAACTTACAAGAACTCCATTATCTCAAGAGTGGTTATGAAGAGCTTTGTGTCATGACCTATCTCACAACTATTTTCAGTAGTTTGGCCATGTGTGGTTCAGCTTAGTGTGTGTGTCAGCAGGAACTGTTAGTAAGGTGTGGATCCCTATCAACCCCAACAGTCAGAGACTCAACAAGTGAGCAAGACAGCTATAACCTCATGAAGCTTTGATGTTACTGATTAATTTTCCCTGAGCTCTTAGAGGAAAATCAGTGCTTCTAACTTGTAAAGTTAAAAGGAATGATAATGAAGCAGGACTTGATAAGGAAAATATGGAAACTCTGATTCAGACCACGAAAGAAGGTTAATGAAATATTTTCAAAATGTCTTGTTTAGCTTCAAAGATGGATACAGAGTTGCTAGTTGTCTTCCCTGCCTGTCAGTTTAGCATATGTCTTGGCCTCCTCTATGCAGTGTTTCCATCTTTCCTACCAGGCCATGGGATGACCAAATGCTGAGTGATGCGTGCCGATTGGTTCTGGATGAAATCCACATCCCGCCAGCAGCCAAAGGAGGCATGGTGGAATATAAGCGAACCCTCATCATCAGCCTGCTCTTCAAATTCTACCTGAAAGTGCGACAAGGACTGAATAAAATGGTGAATGATTTCTCCAGGTGTCTGGGTTTTGGCTACTCGGGACAGGGGTTTGGGAAGAATTTCCTCAGCCTGGTCTGGGATAATACACTGAGGGTCCTGGAATGGGTGGCAGATTGACTCACAGTAGTGAAAAGATTCAATAAATAAATTTAACCATTTTTTTCCTTTTTTAAATGTAATTTTCTTACAGAAGAATTACTTTGATGTTCAGAAAATGAGAATAAGCCAAAAAGGAAAATCATCTGTATTCCCAACAGCTATAGATAGCCACTAGAAATATTTTGGCATGCATTTTTCAAAACCCTTCTTTATGAATGCATGTGTTACAAAATTTTTTTAGTGTAGCTTCTGGAAATATCAATAACATCCATTCCTCTCTGTATAAACAGATGTTGCTGTACTTTAAACAATGACTAGCAGCATCAGGAACTCAAAATTCAGGGCCTTCTCCCCCAACCCAACTGGAGTCCAAGATCTATGTGGATACAATGGACAGCCCTAGTTCTGTGATCATCACTTCACTTGTAAAGTTAAATGCAAAGTAATCTTATTTACAGGATTCCCAGAAGTTCCCCGACATTCCAGAAACATACATGAGTGCTCTAGAAGATTTCCCCATAGAAACACCCCAAGGAATTCAAATGTTTCAGGTGAGTATGGCTTTTTCTTCAAATCTATGCATCCAAATACAGATGTTCTACACATGTCTCTCTCACTTCACTAACTATATTCTTGTTGCAAAAATAAACTCTATTAAACTAGTTGATACTACCTATTGCCACTTTTAAAGGACTTTTCTTGCTTCAGCATCTGAGCTTTTTCACAAGGAATTAGAGTCTGGATCACCCTCTTCCACCATTTTCAGTTTTATTGCCTAAAGTTTCTTACTTTTCTTAGCCAATGCCTGTCCTTCCCTTAAAGCTTGGCACAATGGTCTAGTGGTTAAATCATTGCATTACGCATGCCAGGATCCCATATGGATGCCAGTTTGTGTCCCAGTTGCTCCACTTCCCATCCAGCTCCCTGCTTGTGGCCTGGGGGAGCAGTAAAGGATGGCCCAAAGCCTTTGGATGCTATGCCTGCATGGGAGACCAAGAAGCACCTCCTGACTTCTGGCTTCGCAATGGCTCAGCTCCAGCCACATGGGGAGTGAACCAGTGGATGGAAGTTATTTCTGTCTCTCCTTCTCTCTGTAAATCTACCTTTCCAATAAAGATAAATAAATCTAAAAACAAGAAAAACACACAGCCTGGGCCCACTGAAGTAGCCTAATGACTAAAGTCCTCACCTTGCCCATGCCAATTCCCATATGGGCACCAGTTCTTTACCAGCAGCCCCAGTTCCCATCCAGCTCCCTGTTTGTGGCCTGTGGCCTGAGAAAGCAGTCAAGGACAGCCCAAAGCCTTGAGATCTTACTCCCACATGGGGACCGAGAAGAAGCTCCTGACTGTGACCATTGCGGTCACTTGGGGAGTGAAATCAGCAGAAATCTTGCTCTGTCTCTCCTCCTCTCTGTGTATCTGCCTTTCCAATAAAAAAATAAATAAATCTTTTAAAAAAAAACTGAGCCAATATTTACAACTTCTAGAAAAACCTTCCTTGCTTTATTACTAATATTCTGAATTTCCTGGGAATTTGTGTGTTTTCCCTATGTGTTACTTAGGTAAACTGTTCTCTATTGCTATATGAATTTACACGTAATTTTAATGTGTGTTTGTGCATGTTCTGATTCCTCAATGACATAGTAGAATCCTTCATGACAGCAAAAATGTCTTCTTGGGTGGCAGGAGAGTGGGAGGTTACATCCAGAATTTATCCCATACCATACCACTCAATGTGTACTTATTAACCTTGACTCACAGAAGTGGGTACCTATTGCCTGTAGTTTTTCTTGTCATGTTAGTAACTCAGACATAGCAGACTCAATTTTTAGGTCACAAGAATCGCTGATGTCAAATATTTTGCTTTGTTCATTCCCAGTGTGTGGATCCCAATCAATCCCTACAAGATCCAGTTGGACACCCAATCATGCACCAATCAGCCATTAAACACGCCACTGGGGAGGCTGTGTTTGTGGATGACATGCCTCCCGTAGACCAAGAACTCTTCCTTGCTGTGGTCACCAGCACGAGAGCTCATGCCAAGATCACGTAAGAAAATAAAAGATGCTTCTTTGTATTGCTGAAATGCATCCACAGTTTCATACATAAAGCACTATTATATCTTATATTAATCAAGTGGGGATCATTTTCTGTGTGTAGTTGTGAAAGCCTCTGTGCCCAAGAATTAAAACTGCTAAACATTGACATTTTCCAATATAGACTATTGCTCTATCATTTATTTTTAAAGTCCATTGTCACTTTTCTTTGTGTTTAAAGAATAGCTTATATTAACTGTAGACTTATCCCTGCAATCTACAATCTTACTGGCTTCCCTCACACTTTCCCTGTTAGATCCATTGATACCTCAGAAGCTTTGGCACTTCCAGGTGTGGTCGATGTGATAACAGCAGAGGATGTTCCTGGAGAAAATAACCACCAAGGAGAGATTTTGTATGCAAAAAATGAGGTATGTGACTTGTATGTGATTTATTATTCAAGTATTTTTGCTGGAAACACCAACATAATTATTTATTACAATTGTATCCATGGGTTCATGAATACATCACCAAGACTTGCTAGAAGTAAATGACTCCATCTCAGTGAGTCTCAACTTCTCTCTTCAATAATTTAGCCTTTTTGAGATTCTACTAAAAGCTTTTAATACTCTCAAGAAAGGCTTCTAAGAGCTGGCATTATGTCCTAGTGGGTTAATCTGTTGTCTGCCACACGAGCTTCCCATATGGGTACCAGTTTGAGTGCCGGTTGCTCCACTTTCAATCTTGCTTCCCTTGTGGAAGACTTGGATGGGGATCCAACCCAGGATCCTGGTTTCCTCCTGGCCCAGTTCCAGGAATTGCAGCAATTTGGAGGGAGAAGTAGCAAATAGAAGATCTCTTTTTTTGTAACTTTGCTTTTCAAATAAATAAATATCATTTATTTTAAAAGTCTTGAATTCACAGAATATGGAGCATTGGCTGTTGAAAGAAAACAAAAGTTCAGGATGACTGGATCACTGTGATGTTGTGGGAATGGTGACAAACGTATCTGGGGACAAGCCTGTAGGTTGTTAAAGCCAGATAATTATGCTCTGTGTGCATGTACTGTGCTCCCTAAATCCCACTCAACACCCTGCTTTAAAATAATATCAGGGGTAGAAAATAATCTTTCTCTTGGACACGAAGCTGTGGTGTGCCAACATAAGAATGCTGAAGCAGTCACTCCTTTTTGAGGATTCTCTTTTTCTGTAATTGTTCACACATGGCTTTCTTGCAGGTGATTTGTGTGGGTCAGATCGTCTGCACTGTGGCTGCTGACACCTACGCTCATGCGAAGGAGGCGGCTAAACAAGTGAAGATTGCTTATGAAGACATAGAACCAAGGATCATCACGATCAAGGTAGTCATACCCTTGTGGCTTCTGGAATGATGGCAATGGTTTACTTTGGGCAGAATCCAACTCATGGAATAAAATGATACAAATTGGGTTCCACCTACTCTTTGTCCTGTGTTACTTATAGTTTCAGGTTAAGGGCTCCAGTGACCTGTACTTTGAGACAGAATGCTGAGACTTTTCCTGCCTAGATCCCTCCTCTGCAGCAGTGCCTCCACAGGGATCTCTGGAAATGAAGCTTTCTGTGTATCCTTCTCCTCTGGCCTCTTGCCAAGACGTAGCCTAGAAGTGTAGATCAGCAACACCAGAGAAATGTCTCACATCCAAAACTACTCAGTGGGAAAATCCAGAGCATTTGTGGCTCTTACAAATGTACCAGGATGCATACCAGGCCTGATCATGTTTTGTCTTCATTACTTCTTTTCATTAAACTTAGCTAGCATGCTTACTGCTTTAAACAAGTAATAATAACATTAACTGTATGAGAAGGACTTCAAACAGTTCATGGAAAATGCATACACTGAAGAACTGTACATGGATTTCAAGGAGTGTTTGCACCAAAATCATCTTACCTTATAAATGTATCTTCCCATGAACTTTTTAAAGTACCCTTGCAATACAATTATTGAGTCTTCTTTCTCCCTTACCACTTAGACTTAAGCACAAGCTGTAGAGACAGATGACTTGAATTCATAACCTGATCCTGCCACTTGATAGCCTCTTAACAGTAACAAAAGTTTTGACAAGCTTCTGCAATGCTTCATCCCTCACTTGTCTAATCTGTAAAATGAGAATCCTAAAAGTACCTCCACCAGAAAGTCATTGTGAGCTTTAAATGAGAAGATTTAGAGAACACATCAGTAAATGTTAACTATCATTTGTGTTGTATTCGCTATTCGTGAGAACCAAAGACATGCCAGGTACCAAGGACAAAGCTGGGGCTCAGAACACGTGCTAGACAACAGAGGGACAGAGTGGAAAATGGATAGAAGGATAAATAACTAACATGAAAACACCAACTCCCACACACATAGGGTACAGTCTTGAATATCCTCTTTGATGCTCCCCCTAATCCTTCCAATAGTTGCCGAGTTCAAGTTGCCCTTCAAATGCTTTTGAGTCTGCCACCCTCCAGCCCAGAACTTGCCACATCGTTGCCCAGATTTACTGCAATAACCACAAGAAGAGGCTCTTGTCTTCCCCGCCAGCTCATGTACCCACCTCACAGACTTCTTTAAGCCACCCAATTTATCAGGTCACTTCCAATGGTGAACAGCACCCCCTCAGATAAAAATCCAAATTCCTTGAAATGGAATCAAGGTCTTTCCTAGTCTGACTTCAATCCACCTCCAAATGCCTGTTTAAGTGTTTCTTGACAGAAAACCCACATCCCAAGCAGTCTGGTCTTGTTCTCATCTTGTCCCCCTTCTTTGGTTTTAACCCTGAATTATCGCTTCATGTTGTGACCGACTTCAAATGATTCAGGATCCAACTCAGGTTACTTGCACAAGGCAATCACCAAGTATCCCAGGTCCCACCAATCTCCTCCTCCTCCTTGATCTCTTAGCTCTGTTTACCAACCTTACCCTAGAATCAGCACCTTAATAGCAAACTGCCTCGGATCATCACTCAGCAATCTAGGGATGGGGCCATCTTTATAGACCCCTGAGTCCTGCCTTAGCGCTTTCTCAGAACATTGAACAAAATGAAACCACCAAGGTCTGTAACCCATTGAATCCAAATTCTGATGACTCTTCATGTTACACTTGCTTGGAGAATTTGGTATGGGATCAGACAAAATAGAAACATTGAATTAAGTGGGAGACAAATTGCTTATTAGGATGCCAACTTTTGTTCTGGTTTCTTTATTTTTCTACTGCAGCAAGCTCTGGAGCATAATTCTTTCCTCTCTGTGGAGAGAAAAATTGAGCAAGGAAATGTGGAAGAAGCCTTTAAACATGTTGACCAAATCATTGAAGGTAAGTGGTCCGGGGTTAAAAAAAAAAAGCAAGGGTTCTGAAGTGGAAGATTCTGTATCAGCTGGTTTGAGAAATACTGAACCTCCAAAGCAGTGCTTCTGTATTCCAGAGTGATTTTTTAATAAGAACTTTTAAATTAATATTTAACAGATTGGATACAATTCTAAGAACACAATAGCATTTCTCTCTTCTTAATTTAGCACACACAATAAGTTCACAGCTTTATTTTTACATATGTGTAACCTGGTATAAATGTTGCCCACAGAAAGATATGTTGTACCCCAGAAAGCTTCCTCTTATTTTTTTCCCTGAAGATTTATTCATTGTACTTGAAAGAGTTACAGTCAGAGAAACAGAGAGAGATCTCCCAAGTGCTAGTTAACCCCCCCAAATGGCTGCAACAACCAGAGCTGAAACTGTCTACCACCAAGTGTGTCTTCCCAGTTTCCCACATGGGTACAGAGGCCCAAAGTCGTAGGCCCTTCTCTGCTGCTTTCTCAAGTCATCAGCTGGGAGCTGGCTTGGGAGTAGAACACATGGGGACCAAACCCATGTCCATATGAGCTGCTGCTGCTGAAGGCAGAGGACTAACTTGTAAAGCCACCAAACTCTGCTGTCTCAGGATGCTTCCTCTTATCCCTAGTAACTCCTCACAAGGTATGAGACTAACTTTTAAAGTCATAGAAAATGAAATCTGATCTGAACAACAAAGTGCCTACTTCTATTTAACATCTTGAGTAGAAGAGTCATCTCTGTTGTTACAAAGATCAGAAGTTCTTTTTCATTACTTGGTAGTATTTTGCTGCATAAGTGTTCTGCAATTTAACTGTTCTGTTGTTGGTGGATGTTTGAGTTGTTTTCAAGTTAAGGTCATTATCAATAAAGTTTCTACAAACACAATTGTGTTTGTCTTTTAGAGAACACAAACACTTCTAATCAGCTACATCAAGGAACAAGATTGTCAAAATGATATATAATCTTATATATGTATATATTTATTATATATACACATATATGTGTGTGTATATAGTATATAATCTTATATGTGTCATATATATATGCATATATATGTAAGTTTTTCTCCTGTTAAAAAATTTAGTTTTTAGGGGTTTTTTTGGGGGGGGCCTGATCCACATTCTATTGTCCTAAAAAACTATTTCAAATAATCTTAACAAATTCAGTCTTAGCAAAACCATGCATTTATTTCAGCAACACAAAGGTCTTTTAGGTAATTGGAATTCAAAAACTTGACCAAACTCACTCGTCAAGCCTAGAGGCGTAATCAGATTAGCCTATGCTGTCTAGTTCAGTACATTACAGATGTGATAACCTCAAGACACGGATGAGGAGACCTAGGGCAAGGAGGCTGGTGTGAGTTACACAAGGTCACACAACACAGAGAGAACTAGAAGGAATTTAACCCAAGGATATAAAGAGCAGCAGTCCATAGCTTGAAGCAACTCACAATTACTGAACAAGACACCAGAGCTCCTGCCTGCATACTTGTAATCAAATGTTGTGCTGTGCTTAAACTTCACAGGTGAGATCCATGTGGAAGGACAGGAACATTTTTACATGGAAACACAAACTGTCCTGGCAATCCCAAAAGAAGAAGATAAAGAAATGGTGTTATACCTTGGAACACAGTTTCCAACCCATGTGCAGGTAACAGGACGCTGTTGGACAATGAAGCTCCAGGTGGATGGGTGTTGTGAGGTCCTTGCTTCTGGATACTCTGCTACTTGAGCCTTTGCATTCCTCCCACTCCTGATAGGAACTCCATGTATGCTTTACATTAGCTAAAGTCCAGAATGAATCCAATGGGGGGAAATAGTGTTTTGAAAGAGCAAACCTTCCAACGTGATTTGAAAGTGCTCATATTTTGCAAAGCAGGGCATAATTCCTATTTTCCTTATAACAACTGGTAGCATAAAATTGAATCTCAAGGATGTACAAGCCTTTGTTTGATGATTCCACTTTGTGATTCATTTGCATGATTATTTTAGGTGAGTGTGGAGTTCCCATAAATCACTGGGACACATGTAAAGTAATTATGCCTCCAAGATATTCAAGCCAGCTCAATAAGAAGCATGTAAATTACAGTCCTGTCTTAGTAGTTTAAATACAAGGCCTTTTTGCACCCAGGGAAATAACTAAAGATCCTGATATTCTTCTTTTCCAAAATGTGAAGTTGTTGGTCCTAAAATAGTGCCAGAAACAGGTAGATAATTTTTAAAATCTCACTAAGGAGGGAAGGCATCTATCTCTAAGAGAAAAGCTGGGGCCTTCGTGCTGGAATATGGTGAGCTGATATCTTCTGTGTTGTGAGTGTATAGGTTTTCTGGGAGGAGGAAGCTCCCAGCTGTCACTCCAGCCACAATTAAGGCAGAGGTCACTGATTCTGAGCCAGGATATGACTGTGACTTTCACAACCACAAAGACTACACACACGCGATCATAGCAACATCACTCATAATATGCTAAAGTGAAAACAATTCAGTGTCCTGTTGAGGAATGAACAAAATGTGGTATGACTGTATAATGGAATATTACATAGCTACTAAAAAAAATGACGTACTGATATTGTTATAGTATAGATGAACTGTGACAACATTGTGATAGATGAAAGCTAGTCATGAGATATCACATATTGGATGGTTCTACTTACAAAAGCATCCTGAACAGGTAAGTCTCAATACTTTCTTACAGGAGGAAGCTTCATGGTCACCCAGAACTGGGAAGTTGTGGGGAAAATGAAGATGACTGTTTAATGGATGCAGGTTTCTTTGGAACCTGACATTTTCCTAAAATGAAATTAGGATGATGATTACATCCATGTGTAAATAGAAGTATTTGTTGAATAATTGACTTTCTTGCATTGAGCAGAGAAAGTGCATGGCTAAGGTAGTAAACTATTCGGTTGCACTCACATGGCTCTGCGGACTTACCTTTTTCAGGAGTATGTGGCTGCAGCCTTGAATGTCCCAAGGAGTAGAATCGCCTGCTACATGAGAAGAGCTGGAGGAGCATTTGGGGGGAAAGTGACCAAGCCTGCTCTGCTCGGAGCTGTCAGCGCTGTGGCAGCCAACAAGTAAGAGTTGCAATGACCATGGACAAGATCAGCAGTCCAAATGGTATTAATGGCACCTGGGTCCTTTCAACCCTACATTGCAGCTTTCACCTCCAATGAGGTTCCCAAGTAGGAAAGGGCAATAAACCCTGGGTATTTTTGCTCCCCGCAGACATTCACATAACCTCAGCCTCATCTGGTTGGAGCATCCAGTTGTGGGAATGGCTGTGACATTGGTGAACTTTGAGGCCACTAAAGTTCACTAAAATGTATTCAGGAAAACACTTAACTTATTCCAGGCTTTGGTTTTTTTAAAAAAAAAAAAGTTTGTCCAACAGTAGTAAAAGCTCTTTTTTGGTAGCAGGTTTGCCAGTAGTGGGAACAGGCAATCTAAAGCCAGAAACCTTGCTTGACATTTGGTGAAAAGGGGCATGAATGTAAGGGTCTTGAGCTCAACAGGGCATTGCATCCCAACCTTTCAGCCTCCACTTTCAGCCTCCACAGCTCTCTTGCAGCATATTTTAGTTTTCCCTTTCCTATCCCAAAATGAAGTTCATAATGATCAAATCTACTTATAGAACTGAGAAATGACCATACCCTTCTTAATGTGATCTAAAAATAAACAAAAGAAAATACCATAATCAAATAACATGACATTGCAATATAGAAATATAGACTTAAACTAAATCAAAATAATTTTTTATTTTAATGTAATCACAATCTTCTAAAATATTTTAAAGTATACTGCTACTCCCGCTGAAAATCACCAGCTAGCTTATCTCAAGCCTTCTTTCTTCATCTCTGTGTTTTGACAACTTTATCAAGTTTTCAGTCATTAATGGAGTCATTCCCTATAGGACTGGCCGCCCAATCCGCTTTATCCTGGAGCGTGGTGATGACATGCTGATAACTGCTGGCCGCCACCCACTTCTCGGAAAATACAAAGTGAGTGAAAGCAAAAGAGTTCATAAGACTGCCTATGAAGTTGTCCAGTATTAATTAACCAATAGTAAAGACAATTGTTAAATGCCATAGCAATAAAAGGGGATATTTGAATGTTGCCTAAGAATATTAAGATTGTGTTATTTCTAGTCATGTGCACAAGCTAAATGTGGATGACAGCTATGATCAAACAGATAGATGTCCAACATGGTTTGGTTGCTATCACTTTGCAGGTTGGATTCATGAACAATGGTGTGATCAAAGCTGCTGATGTTGAATATTATATCAATGGCGGATGTACTCCTGACGAGTCCGAATTGGTAAATAGATACCTCTTTGCTATGGATTAATAGTGGAGCTGCAAGTACCACATTGCACTTGCTCAAATATCTGTCTCACAAATTAGATCATTTCTATCAAGAGTACAAGTTAAAAATGTAATTCAGATAAGTAGCCTTGCATATTTGACAGATGTAAAGTTTCATGTTATTTGGCTTCAATTCAGGTGACTGAGTTCATTGTGCTGAAATCAGAAAATGCGTATAATATTCCTAATTTTCGGTGCCGGGGAAGACCTTGCAAAACCAACTTACCATCCAACACCGCCTTTCGAGGATTTGGCTTCCCTCAGGCTACAGTGGTGGTTGAATCTTACATAACTGCTGTGGCTGCTCAATGTAACTTACTTCCTGAAGAGGTAAGCAGCTAAACCCCCTAAGAAAATACTGACAATTTTGCTTAAATATGTTCTGAGCACCTGCATGTAACGTCATGTCAACCTTTATGTGGACTCAAAGAAAAACGTGCCTCATCCCTGCATATTTGTTTTCTGTGTACATGTGTGTAAGTCAACCACAAAATCCAATGCTTTGAATGAGAAGATAGTATTTCTTATAAATCTGTCAACCTGCTGGGAGCTCTTCTGGTCTAGGCTGAATCAATGCAAATTTTATGACATAAGGCAGCTTCACTCAGGTAAATACCAGGCTGATTTGTCTAGGGGTGTCTCAGTTGAGACACTGTCACTTCTGTTCCGTAGAGGCATCCTCCAGGATACTGGCCCATATTTGTTCTCCTCGGATGGGGTAGGCAGAGTGGGAAAAGGGGTTTTTCGTGGCCAGCCCTAATGCACCAGTACTTTTCAATTATCTGCATCATGTTGTCATCAAGCCAATCCCGGAATCAATGTAAAGCCATCCTAGGACATAGAGAGGATAGAACAATAAGCATCTTTTGTGCAAACCTTTTTCCAATATTCAAATCTTTGAGGAGTTAATTTGAGAACAAGTTATGGGCAAGATCACATCAAAGATTGTGAATTAGGAAAATTTTGGTTCACCACTAGCAAACTTGTGATGGGCCTCCTCTTTCACAGGATTATTTGGAAGCTAACTAACATGCACTTGGCCTAGACGTAGTATATATGAAGTATTCATCAGCAATTGCCATGGTTATTATGATTGTTGCTTTGTTTATACATGTACACTTGTTCTTGAACACTAATAGCAATGCTTATCACATCTTTTTTAGAAAAATTTCCTTTATATCAAACATATAGCAAAAATGTATGTATCACATGTAGAAAAAATATCTACTGCTAAAATCCATTTTGTTTTTTGTCATTCAGGTTAAAGAAATAAACATGTACAAGAAAGCTAGCAAAACAGCCTATAATCAGACATTCAATCCAGAACTCTTGCGAAGGTGCTGGAAAGATTGTCTGGAAAAATCTTCATTCTATGCGAGGAAAGAAGCTGCAGCAGAGTTTAACAAAAAGAATTACTGGAAGAAAAGGGGGTTGGCCGTTGTCCCCATGAAATTTACCATTGGACTCCCTATAGCCTACTATCATCAGGTGAGGCTGAGAGGGCTGCCTGTCTGGAAATGGTAACTGTGTGCAACTGGGGTAGTCTGGGTCTACTCTGCAAGCAGGAGATGCTGGGTCAGTTAGCTTTAGCTGTAGAGAGAGGAAGTTTAGGCCGGATGAAGATACCATGGATATCAGTGAATACGGTATTCAAGGAGAGCTACCAATGGTAAAATCCAGCTTGGGAGACAGAGGACAACCTGAGTATGTGGAAATGGGGAGTCTTGTTTCAAAACTGTGGTAGAGTGGGGACAAACAAGAGGACTCCTTTTCATTTTTCCAAATTCCTTAGTAAGAACCTCAAAAACAGCCATGAGAACAGACTCCCCAATCACATAGAAACTTGGAGTTTCTGTGATTTTTTTTAAAGATATGAGTTATTTATTTAAAAGGTAAAATGATGAGAGAGAGAGAGAGAGAGATGTGCCATTCATTGGTTCATGTTCCAAACAGCTTCAGTAGTTAGGTCTGGGTCAGGCCAAAGCCAAGAGTCAGGAACTCCATCCTAGTCTCCCTTGTGGATGTCAAGAATCCAAGCACTTGGACCATTTTCTTTTGCCCTCCCAGGTGTAGATTGGAAGCACAACTGCCAGGACTGGAACCAAAGCTCTGCTATAGGATATTGGCATTACTGGTGGCAATTTAACCCACTGTACCACAATACCCACCCCCTGGGTTTCTGTATTAAGATTCAGTGACTACTAAATCTCTTTTTCATTTCACCATAACAAGTTTTTCATAGCGTTTGGTTTCTAATTTCTTCTTCTTTGTTGTTGCTTCTATTGTTGTTGCTATCTTTATTCATCTCCTCAGTGTTTTCTATAGTAAAGCCTGTGCAAAGGAAAGAACAAAGGTCACCCTCATGGTGCCAGTGAGGTGGGCACATAATTATCTCCTCTCTCTCTCTCTCTCTCTCCTCTCTCTCTCTCTCTTTCTCTGAAATCTGCCTTTCAAAAAATAGATCAGTCTAAATAATAAAAGGAAGAAAAATTACCCGGCACCCTTAATAGATGGGCCTCTGAACTCTGGCTCCAATGTTCTGCTGAACTTGATTTTCTTGTATGAAAGTCCAGATCCATGTGTGCCCACCCTCATCCCAACATGATTCTGAAAAATCAGTGTTTGGAAATCACTAAAACACACAAAAGTTTCTTCCAGTTTCTCTGGAATTCAGGAGAGATTATGCCAGGAAATTTACTCATGCAGATACTACTTGGTTTTTTTTTTTTAAGATTTATTTATTTTTATTAGAAAGGCAGATTTACAGAAAGAAGGAAAGACAGAAAGAAGATCTTCCATTCTCTGCTTTACTCCCTGAATGGCCACAAAGGCCAGAGCTGAGCCAATCTAAAGCCTGGAACCAGGAACCAGGAGCTTCTTTCAGGTCTCCCACAGAGCTGCCAGTCCCCAAAGACTTGGTCTATCCTGCACTGCTTTCCCAGGTCACAAGTAGGGAACTGGAACAGAAGAGGTGAGACTTGACATGGTTCCCATATAGGATGCTGGCACTTGAAGGTGAAACATTAGCCAGTTGAGCTACAGCACCAACCAACTGCTTTAAAGTCAGTTTCCATTTCTGCAGAGCGAAGAATAATAAAATAGTATGCAGACTGGTGTCCTGGGAAGGCAGCACCCCAGGCAAATATGTGAAGTTTCTGGTGGGCAGGAGATTAGCAAAGCTCAAGTCACTTGTTGCAGTGTGGGTTTCTCATCTGGTATTGCAATTGCTTCCCCCACCTCTCCCAGGCAGCTGCCCTCGTCCACATCTATATGGATGGCTCTGTCTTGCTGACTCATGGTGGCTGTGAGCTGGGGCAAGGCCTGCACACCAAGATGATTCAGGTGAGATTGTTGTCATAGCCATAGAAAACAACACCTTATGGTCAACTGACTAGCTTTCTTGTCATGTTGAACGTAAGAAACAGCATCCCACCAAATGCACAAGTCAACTGTAAAATTTTTAGTGTGGGAAGTGTGTACTAAAATTGAGGAATTATGTTACATCAGTCCTCTTGCATGCAATAAGCCAAATCCATAGGTCTAAAAGGGTGATTCCAGTTTTCAGAGAACATACTGCCAAGCTTTCTAGCAACTGCTCAAAGTACTAATGCATTCACTCAAATTCACAGAAATAAATGTTTGATAGGACGGAAAGTTACGTTCCTAGATTCATAATCCATGTAGAAAGTTGATTCACAGTGTGCTAAGTCATACAAGTCTGTTTATAGTGCTTTTTAAACAAGATCTTCTTGCAAAAGGAAATTTCCCCCCTTTTTAATGTGAAACAAGTCTTTGTTGAATATAACAATTGAATCTAAAATGTATGAGAAACAAAACATTTTCTCAAGGAGAAATAGAGAAAAGATACTTTTGAAGGAAAGGGTATTATTCTTTATTTTTATTTATTTTCATTTTGTTAGAAAGGCAGAGAGATTCAGAGGCCCAAAAATTATACCTGCTGCCTCACCCTCCAAATTCTGTTAGGAGCCAGGGCCAGACCTGGCTAAAGCATGGAGCTGAGAACTCAGTCCAGTTCTCCACTTGAGTGTCAGGGATCTGAGCACTTGAGCCATCATCTGCCGCTTCCCTGGGTGCACAATAGCAGAAACCTGGAGAGAAGAGCTGAGACTCAATTCTAGGTAGGAATAAAGTTTATGACATAAGCAATCTTTTCCTTCTGTTTCTACAGGTGGCCAGTCGAGAACTGAACATACCCCAGTCAAAAATACACCTGTCAGAGACAAGCACAATCACAGTGCCTAATGCCCTCTTCACTGCAGGGTCCATGGGTGCAGATGTCAATGGAAGAGCAGTGCAGGTGAGTCTTCCTTTCATTTCTCAGTCATCCAGTAACTGTCCTGTAGGAACTTTGTCCCAACCCTTTTTTTATGAAAGATGAACCTACAGCCAAGACAGGTCAAGCTCTAGGTCACTTGGCTAGTTACTGGCAGAGCCAGTGTTCCAAATCAAATTTTCTGAGGCTCCCATTTGATGCTCATTTGCTCACCAGGCCATGAGCATTGCTGTTGTTCTGTTGCATATACAGCCCTGCACCCTCCACAGAGTTGTAGTAGCATCCCTTTGTCTCAAATGAGGGAATCTCTCTGTTCTCTCACTCCAACATGCTAAGAGTTTGGGCCAGTCATTAATCCCTCTAGAAATCAGTTTTCTGTTCTACATAACTGGAAATATAAATATCCATTTACCGGAGCTGTGTGCCAGAAACTGGAAATAAAGCAGCTGCCCCTACCTCTTCTCCTTCCCACTCTTCAACCTCTAGGAAACTGCTTACTTTAGTCATCCATAGAGACCATCTCCAAAAAATGACAAAACCAGGATGAAAGAGAATCTCAGCTATTCAATGTGCCTTAGAGCCTGTGAACTATGGTTTTCCTAGGTCTACTCCTTGGGATAGTGGACACACACATAAGAAAGAGAGAGAGAGATCAAAAGCACTGTGAGACTTTGACCTTTTTTCTGACAGTTTCATGATGAAGAGTTGTAATAAAGGTCATAAACTTGCATGACCACTTGCCATTGTCTGTATCTTGTTAGGCTGGTCCAACACTGATTACAAGCATTTACTAAGGTCTTTCATGTGCAGGTTCTTTCCTAGGCACTAGGGCTGTAGCAATAAATGGAACAGGACTAAATCCAAAGAGCTTGATCTCATAAAGCTCACAGTCAGGCAGCCAGTTGACAAACCAACAGTATTTTTCCTTTGAATGAGCAGGATTGCAACCCATGCTGCAGTTTTACAAAGTGGAAAATGAAGTGCTGTTTGGGTGGATTTGTGAGCCAACAAGAGAAGGCTGATTGCCTACAGATCCCAGAAAACATCCCTGAACCTCCTCATGCACAATACTCTGACCTCAACTGTACTTGAGCAGGGATTTCAAAATTTTTACACCAAAATGAGCTCTTTATTTATTCCCACTTTCCTCAGACTTTTTGAAGGGCCATCATTAAGCCAGACTTAATATTTGCCATTATCTCTGTCTTTTGAAGATAGCTTTGTCCTCTTGGTAGCCCAATTTTTTTTCATGATACAGTTCCATTGGCAGAGGGATTCTCTCCTCCACCCCATCCATTCCCCTCCCTCACTATTTTCTCCCATGTTATTACAATAGGATAGTCCTTGAGCAATAGTCTCAAGTCCAACATTTCTGCTGTTTAAGTGCATCGTGGCATTTTAGGTGTGGACAATGGAAGCTAGTCTAGAATCCTATTGCCAAGGTATATTTAGCAGTTTCATAGAGAGTTCTCCTTTTATTCAGAAGTAGAGATTCACACTGTAGTGTATCCTCACTTCCCAGTATGCTAGTCACCATTATGCAGTTCATCTATGAGCATATATGTATATACATGTTTATCTATTTATCTCATACTTTGCATAGAGGGGACTTTGGTTAGCTTTGTATTCACATGTATTTAAGCAACACTATAATAAAAGTAATTTGAGTCAACACTGCAGGATCTACAGGATTTTCTTCTTTTGAAGCAATTCCCTGCATCACCCCCAGATTAAGAAATCTTCCTAGTAGACTAGAAAGCAGGTTCCCTAAACCTACATTGGAAGTAGTTAAATACTCAACATTTTGTTATTCCTGGTACCTTTGATTTCTGATATTATTTCATATATTTGTCTTTAGAATGCCTGCCAAATTCTGATGTCTCGTCTTCAGCCCATCATTAGGAAAAACCCTAAGGGAAAATGGGAGGAGTGGGTGAGTACTGCCTTTATTAGCCCCACCTGGAATGAGCAAACATGTCCACATGAGTAGAAGTTCTTGATTCATAGCTAATTGACAATGCTGATCCAAGATTCAAAGCATTTATTGCAGTTACATCTCTATTTTCAAAAAGGTGAAAGAGAAATCTAGGTTTGCCAAAACCTGACTTGATTTTAGAAGATAGTTTCTCACAGGGCAGTGTGGCAGCATGAACTCCCCAATAAAACTCTCCCAGAGCTGCTGTCCTGGATGTCCCCACTGACCTGGGGGACAAGTGGCTTACCCCTCATGCCCCTATATGTACCATGGAGCTAAGAAAAATCTTCAAATGAAAACATCATCTATTTTTAGCAATTGTTTTAATAATTACCATCATCCTCATTTCCTATCCCTATCCAGTTTGCTCCAACAAGGAAACTGACATAATCATATAATGAAGCAACCAATCAAATTACTTGGGGATAAAGCAAGTTAAAAATTCATGTGTAATAGACTCCTTTATTCATGGGGTATATATTCTAAGGCTTTTTGTGGATGTCTGAAATGGCAGATAGTGCTAAACCTACCCATACTGTTTTTCTAAATAAACATACCTAGGATATAGTTTCACCAATGAATTATACATAGTGAGAGATCATTAATAATTAAATAAGACAATTAAACAGCATATTATAATAAAAATTCTGTGAATGTTCTCTCAACATTTCACTCCTTTCTTCTTGTTGATTGTGGGTTATACTCTCGTTTGTTCTTATCGGTTGTGGGTAACTGTGGCTACAAGGGACCACTGCATATGTCCTCCTTGTAACCTATACACATCCTATGTGTATATAAAACTACAGAAATACAAAGATATGGCCAAGCCCATCCTAATGTAAAAGTGCAAAAAAAGATAAAGAGTAATAACCTTGACACCATGACATCTCAGTCAGCAGGGATCCCAGGCTGTCAGCTCCCTACAGCCCTTTAGCAACTCCCTGGAGAAGCCTACACTGTGGGCACTACACAGGTCTCACTTGGAGATGTGGACTCAGAGCTTCAGGTGAACAATAGGCAAGCCCAGTGCAGAAGGGGTTGTTTAAGGTTTCCCCTAAATTTCTATTTCCTTGTACCCACACCCTTCCTTCAGGTGGCCAAAGCCTTTGAAGAATCCATCAGTCTCTCAGCCACTGGATATTACAAGTAAGGATGTCTTTCCTTAAGCTTAAATGATACTGGGGCAGGAGTGACTCGCACTTGTCATCTGTCTGAGCAGTTGCCAGGAGCTCAGCTATGTCCCATGCTAACCCTTCCACCACAGAATTGTGGTGGGAGGAAAAAAGGCGTGACCCTGGAGGGCAGCAGATGGAGTAGGATATGATATAGAGTCCTTGGAACAGTCAGCAGGGACCACAGCTACCCATTGCCGGGGCCAGGTGCTAAAGAACGCCATCAGACACCAGCTGATGAAGTCTGTGTCTGCCAGATTCTCTGATAGACCTGCCCTGGGGCCCATCACAGGAGAAGCGAATCATGATGTTCAGCCACAGGTTGTAACACTGCTCCAGGACACGGCACAGCAAGGTCAGCAAACCACTAAGTGTCTTCTGTTTTCCTCCCACTGCTCTGCTCAGAGGCTACCAGACACACATGGACTGGGAGAAGGAAGAGGGGGAAGCATATCCCTATTTTGTCTATGGAGCCTCCTGTGCAGAGGTTGAAGTGGACTGTCTGACAGGGGCACACAAGGTAGGTAGCCATGTTGTGTACCTTCCTCCTAGGCTGGTGGCACAAACGTTGCTGCTTCTATATTGTCAATGATAACCAACCCTGTGGAAAAAACAGAGACAGAGATACAATTTTTAGTATACATCTTTTTTAAAAAAAAAAAGACTTACTTGTGTATTTTTAAGGCAGAGTTACAGAGAGCGAGAAAAGGGACAGGGAAATACAGAGAATAATGTCTTCCACCCATTGGTTTGCTCCTCAAGTGGCTGCAACAGCCAGAGGTCAGTCTGGTTCAGAGCCAGGAGCTTCTTTAGGTCTCCCACATGAATGTAGGTACTGGAGAACTTGGACCAAATTCCACTGCCTTCCCAGGCATACTAGCAAGGAGCTGGCTTGAAAGTGGAACAGCTGGCCATGGTGGACTGTACGTAAGGGGATGTATAATGGAAGTGTAGCAGAAATAAATATGTCCATAGGTAGAAACAGAGAGAAAGTATGTCCCCATGCATGCAGTTCAAGGATGGATTCACAGAGAAACGGCAGGTAATCTCCTACATTGTTGAGAGATGCCTCTGTGTCGCTGGGCCTGTGAGGGTACTCAAAAGACACCTATTGCAAGACTGGATGGGGGAACAGTGGAGAGGGGAAGGAATATGGGCAAAGGAAAGGGAGACCCCAATGCCTATTCAACTGTGTCATAAAATAAAGAAAATAATAATAATAAAAAAGAAAGTGGAGTAGCTGGGATTTGAACTGGTACACCCACCTTTACCCACCATATCACAGCACCAGCCCCAACTCATCTGTCTAAATACATCATGCCTTCCATGACGTGTTTTCTCTTTACACAGCTGCTGAGGACTGACATCTTCATGGATGCTGCTTTCAGCCTAAACCCAGCCCTGGATATTGGACAGGTGCGTGTCTCCAAAACCACCCACACAGACTGAGTTTTGGTCAGTACCGTTGAGCAGTTTGTCACTCAAAATATGCTTCTCCAGCACCCTCCAGGCCTTATCTAATGCAAGTGTTCTGCAAGGTATATTATATGTTACACACAGACATGCATGCATAGACTCGCACACACACACAGAGATATAAAACTGAAAGAAGATTCAAGAAAAGATTAACAATGGCTGCCTTTACATCGCAGGCAAAAATATATGACTTATTTTGCCTAGTAATTTCCTGTGCTTTCTAATTTTTCTTCAGTGAGCCTTGTGCTCATGAGAACATTATATAGGTGCATAAATTACATTAGTGTTCTTGATAATGCTGAATTCAAATAGACTGCACATAAGAGAAAAAGAAATACTGACACACAATGTTTCCCCTCTTACTGAATTTAATTCTGAGTTTTATTTAACAAATAAATAAAATTAATCCACCCAAAGAAGCTTGAAATTTAGGAATTAAATCTCTCCCACTGCTTGGTGAGCTTTGTTTTTTCCCAATTTCATTTCTCAAAGCAGGAACAACAGCTTCCAGGCGAGGCCAGGCTGGCTGCATTTGGTCTGTAGGCTGTAGCTGAACAGCAGTTTGAAGCAATTGGGTAAATGGGCATCACATCCTCACAGCCATGTAGTGCTATCATGTGACAACACTCTACATCATCCTAAGTCCTAAGAGAGCCATTTACACAACTTCACCCAATGATTTATTGAAGAATAATTTCATTGGTCCCTCAGTGTTTTCCAGAATATCATCCTTGGTCTTTAGGGCAACACAAGTGCTTATCAGAGATGTGGATTCCCAGGTCCAGCCTTCCTGCTTCATAACTTTGCTAGATTGGGAATGGGAGTCTGCTCCCCAAATTGACGTGAATCCTGTAATGTTTGGGAACTTCAGACCCGGCACCTCATGTCCTTTTATTCCCCTCTCCCTACTGGATAATTCCTGCTTCTTTATTATTTATGCAAAAGGAAATGGGATATGTTCTGGTTAAGAAAACCCTATATGAATATTTGCCCCATTGGAAAAGGAAACAACCAAATCTCTTAGGCTTTATTCTTCCCTTTAGATGCAAGCACTGCTATTTCTTAGTTTAGCATATGGGTTGGTTTACCTTAATTCCAAAAAAAAAAATCTCTTGTTCTTATAAATAGAAAGCCTAACTTTCCTTCATTTTTTATAAATTCTGGAGGACAGTCCCTTTGGAAAGCAGCATAAAGAAACTTCGATATTTGAAAAACTACAATATTCTAACTCCGTTTGTTCCAGCTCACATTCCTTTTATGTTAACTTCTTTTTACCTATTTTGACATTTGTTAAGAAAACTATGTGCCATGCTAAGAGCAGAATGGAAGAAGTCCAAGCCTTGATTTGTTTTCAGGTAAAGAGTACACAAGAGCAGGAGAGGTGAGCAAGGGGAACTTCTGCTAGCTGTTCCATCAGCAGGAGTAGGCCCCAGCACCAGTGAGCCCCAAGAAATAAGTTGATAAATTTAGGTGGGAGAGGGGAGACAGGGACAAACTCAAAGATTCTAGAGAGGCAAGAATCTGGAGGCAAATGAGTTTTCTTGATGGGAAAGCTGGGAAGGCATAATGGGAGTCAGAAAAAAATGCCTTACAAAGACTTGAAAGTGAGAGAGAATTAGGTGGATCTGAGGAATTACTGGGAACTTGGTAAGTCTCTAGCACTTACGGTACTTGAGGACAGGGTCATGCAAGGAGACAGGCACCAGTTCCAGGTTTGCAAAGTCCTCTGCAATACTTCAAAGAGTGGGTACTGAGACCCATTGCTCCATTTTCATTCCCACAGGAATACTTGCTCAATCAATATCAAAGACTTTTAACCTGTGCACCTCTTGGCTGTAGGTTGAGGGGGCATTTGTCCAAGGCATGGGATTCTACACCATAGAAGAGCTGAAATACTCCCCAGAAGGTGTGCTTTATTCTCGGGGTCCAGATGACTACAAAATCCCCACTGTCACTGAGATACCAGAAGAGTTCTATGTCACTTTGGTGCATTCCCGAAATCCCATAGCCATCTACTCCTCCAAGGTAAGACCTGGAGATCTCTCTGTTAGGGACTCATGCTGCCACAACACAACACCACAATCTAGGTAGCCTTAACAACAGATTTTTTTTTTCAAAGTTCTGATAGTCAGGAATCCAAGATCAGGGTGTTAGTAGGCTTGGTTTCTCCTGAAATCTCTCTCCCTGGGTTATAGATGACTATCTTTGTTCCTATATCTTTTCATGGTTTTCCCTCTGTGTGTGTCTGTGCCCAAATTTCCTACTCTTATCAGGATGACTACTGGATTGGGGCCCATCCTACTGACTACATTTTAGTTTAACCACTTCTTTAAAAGCATTTTCTCCAAACAGAGTTACATTCTGAGGTCCTGGGCCTCCATGGGACTCCAACATGTAAATTTAAGCAGGGAACAACTCAGTTCTCTACAGCCTCTTCTTTCAAGAAATTATGAAAGAGTCACTTAAATGTTCTCATTCCTCTCTCTTTCAAATCTCAAAAGCAGAAAGAGGAAAAAAAAGTCAGTCTGTGACACATAGGTGTCTGGGGACTCCAGAAGCCCAAGTACATTCTCCACTTCTTGAGAAAAATTCTGAGAAAAACCTAAACTAAATCAGAAAATTGAGAAGGAGCTGGGTGTCTTAGGTCATGAGGCTAAGTCCACCATAAGCTAAACCAGTGCAACGGGCAAGTTCCATCACCCCAGAGCTCTTTTCTCAGTAGCTCCAGATTCAATTCAAATCCATTCTGCCTGCCCAAACCCTTCCAACTCAGAATGCATATTCACTTAGCCTTGGCTCTGCTACCCAAGATACTGGTCCCATGCTTCCTGCTGAACCTTTATTTGGCCCATACAGATCCTCAGCAAATAGGGATTCTCAAGCACAACTAGGCAAAGCACACAACTTCCCCAACTTATATTCTACACTGAGTTTTCATCTTGCCAGACAGATAGCAACATTAAGTTTTTGGGAGATTCTTTCTTTTTCGTGAGACTAAGTCAAGGCCAGAAAGAAGGTGAGACTTCCTGTAGGGATGGCCTCTAGCTCCTCTCCTACCTGGAAGTTGACCAGGGGCATCTATAAAGGCTGGTCTGAAACAGAAGCGGACCCTTATGCTCTGCTCCAGATAAGGCACCAGACTTTCCCCTTCCTTCCCTGAGAAGCTTCCTCCCCATGGTAATCTGGGGATTTTGACAGCCAGAACCTATAACAACCCTATGGGCTTTGGATCTTTGTCCAACTCCTCCAACAAAAGCCTGGGCACACGACAAGTTCCAGATCATCTTGAAGAAAGAAAAATAAGCACATAAAAGCCTTGGTGATTCTTTCAAAATGTGTTACTGCCATAGGATTAATTCTAAAGGCAACCTGGATAAACCAGGGAAGTGAGTACACATGGAACGAGATCCACCTCACTGTCATCTAAGCTATACTGCCAAGACTATGCTTATTTTACTCTGGTTTTCATTTAAGCACAATGATCTGGAGCTGCAGTTGGAATATCCTGGAAGGCACCAAGGGCTTTGGTCTTCAAGACTTCTCTTGGGTGGGAGAACAGGAGTGTGTAGCTGATCCATGTGCAGGATCCTGATGTCCAAGGGCATCTTCATGAGCTGGGCACAAAGGATCCCACACACAGATTGCCATCACAGGCATATAGCTCTGACTGTGATTCAACCAGAAGAGTTGAGAGAGAGAGCGAGAGTGTGTGTGTGTGTGTGTGTGTGTGTGTGTGTGTGTGTGTGTGTCTGAATTAGTTCTAAAAGAACCCATGCACCTCTGACAGCCTTCTGTGCTTCTCTTAGGGACTGGGTGAGGCTGGAATGTTCATGGGATGTTCCGTCTTTTTCGCCATATATGACGCCATAGCTGCTGCCCGCAGAGAGAGGGGACTGACCAATACCTTCACCCTCAGTAGCCCAGCAACTCCTGAACTGATCCGAATGACTTGTATGGATCAGTTTACTGACATGGTAAGACAAGACCCTGTTATCACTTTGTACATGGATTTGCAGGTTCATAGTACAGATTTGATAACCTTGACAGAATTACAGAACAAGGTATTCTTTTCCAACATGTCATTTTCTATATACTTCAAAGTAATCTCAAAGTGAGTAAACCTCTTCAAATGATGGTCAGTTTCAGACTCACAAAATAAAAAGCACACTCAAATGAGCAGCTGCTTTGGCAAATGGGTATGGTGAGTCATTTCTTTAACTATCTCATCAGCATATAGTTGCTGTGGTATCTTGGTAACTTCAAAATCAAAATTATAGTAATTAAATCTGATCTGATCAGTTACACAGGAAATATTGTTGGACACACTAGTAAAAATAATTTCAATGAAAGTTCAAGTCACAGGACACACCTTTATGTGCCTTGTAATAATATACTAGTATAATAAATTTCCACTTTTCAGCTGCTAAAGATACTTCTGGAACTATTATCAGCGTGCATTCATCTACTGAACAGCCCTGAATGAACCTTTTTTTTCAAAATTCATTTCTTGTTATTTAAAAGGCATATTCACAGAAAGAGAAAAAGAGATCCTCCATCCACTGGTCCATTTCTCAAATAACTGCAATGGCCAGAACTGGACGAGTCTGAAGCCACGAGCCTAGAGTGCAAGGGTCCCAAGGTCCTGAACCATCCTCCACTGCTTCCCCAGGCACATTAACAGGGAGCTGGATGGGACTCAAACCAGTGCCCATAAGGGATGTAAACACTGAAGGCAGAGGCTTAACTTACTAAACTAGAGCTCCAGCCTGCTGAACGAGCTTTGATGCTAGATTGCACCTATGCCTTGAACATTGTGGGAATTCTGAGTAAGATGCACTGTATCTAAAACATAGCAAGTTTGTGAGGATAAGATTACGATTTAAGAATTGAAACAATATGAAAATTGTATTTGTTTTCTTTTGCCTTCTGAATTACAATGTTTTTTATGTAATCAAATTTTGTTATTGTTCTTTCTTCTTCTGTTCTTTTTTAGATTCCCAGAGATGATCCTTCAACATTTACACCTTGGTCCATCCATGTCTCTTAATTTTAAGTTTTCTAAAACATGATCGACCTTAAAATTTTTAAACTAAAACAAAATATAGGTTGACTAGCAATTGTCAGGATTAGTTTTGGCAATTTTTAATTATTCTCAAAGGCTAGGTTGCTACGTGATTATGTTTTAAGATGCTAGTTTTTGCTAAAATGTGTAATGAAACTTAAAATAGAAAACCCTAATTTTAGTTTGTATGATCCTCAAAGAAATCTATATCATTGTAATTTTAAAATATTGTAGATTTTTCATTAGTAGCACCACTCAAGATAGACTACTGGCACTTTCCTTTGTCCTTCAGAAATCCGCCCAAAGTAGGGTAAAACCCCCTAGTTCACATCTCCTGATACTGGATTCTCCCAAAGCCAATTGTGTGTTGATAATAGCAAGTTCACCTGTAAAGAATCCTTCACTTGCCATGTCTGCCAATTTCCTTGGCATAAGAACTCCCACCTTGAGTAATTCCAAGCCACCAACATGAGACATCCAAATGTGGAGTTGGAAAGAAGTGCTTATACTCAGTGTTCATGAGAGGGTAAGAGCTGACTCCCACATTTCAAGCACCCTACAGTCTCAAATCCCTGTCACTTCCATGTGGTCCATTTGGAAGTAAGCATTGCTATTGCTGGGATATGGTTTATAACCAAAACATTCATCCCTAGTGTGGTAGTGTTGGGGTAGCAGGTGACTGGCTCGTGACTGCCCTTGTGAATGGATTGATGCTAGGACTCCAGGAATGGATTGCTTCCCACAAGAGTAGTTACAGAAGAGCATGCCTGCCCAGTCTCTTGCTTCCTCGCTTATGCATTCTCACTTGTGCTGCCATCCTCCCTGCTGTGACACAGAAGGTGTTTACCCCAACATGATCACCTTCTAGAATTTTCAGCAAAAATAAACATCTTTCCTTTATACAGTTCCCAGCCCTCAGATATTTTGTTACAGCAGCACAAAACATGTCCTTGAGTCTCTTGTTTGAGCTTAGAGTCTAAACAGCAAAATGAGTCCCACCTTACCTTTGCTATCAAAGGTTCACAAGACCCTCAAGGCTTGTGCTTGATGATGTCATAGCTTGGCATTATCTTTTGCAACAGAAATGCCAGAGAAGATGTTCAGTCCCTGTGGAATTTGAAAACACAAATAAATTCATTGCTTGTCAGGTATTTGTTCACTAAATCTTCAATCCCTGAATTTTTAAAGCTCTACATATTCTAATTCTTTCTGGCAATGTTGTGAAGGGAGAATCAGGTGCAGCAATTATTTATGAGTGCATGAGGAGAAGAGAGGCTGGCACTAGAAAAGTGAAACTTGTGGCATCTACGCAGACAAACGCAAGTGTAGGCAGCAGTCTGAGACACCACCACCAAATGGCCAGGACACTGGGAAAATGGCCAAGAAACTGAACACCACCCCCCCCCCCCATAGACGGTGCAGGGTCTTATCTCGGGAGTAAAGACACTTCTGCAACAGGTGCAAGACGTGTCAGGTACATATTGTCAGTTCAGTCATGGGGAGAAATAATGATATGAGCAAACACATCGAAGAAATGAGGCAAAACATCACAGACCTCACAACACAGGCTGGGGTAGAAAAGCTGGGACGTACAAACAAAATCCCTGTCGCACAGAAGATCGGAAGGTTGCGAGCAATTTATACCGAAACCTGCGTCATGAGAGCTTTCAAGCCAAGAGAAGGCTGAATGGCTTTTTGCAGCGCACTACTGCATGTAGGCAGTTTTTACATCGCCAAGTGCGTGTCTTATCACATACTACATTAGTTAGTTCACAGAGTGATTTTCCCCACTGCTACCCCCACAGTTTCCTGAATATGGTATCTTAGAACTTGCTCAGTCATGCTCTTAATCAGTAAACACTAAACCTTTGGCAGTTCAGAAAATAATAATAATAAAGCTTCTTTGCAAGGGAAAAGCCAAAACCTGCCAATCAACATCTCTTCTCCCAAGAGGAGTGTGTGTGTGTGTGTGTGTGTGTGTGTTTGTGTGTGTGTGTGTGTGTATCTATTCAGAGCCACTCAATAACCTAGATTGCCCTGAAAGTAAGCAACAAGAACTCACTGAACAAGTCAGGATCACTGGCTTGTTCTTCCTGCGGTAGAATGGAAGTCATATCTCCCACAAGCATAAATTAATTACAAAGTGTTCTACTTCGTAGACTGTGGGGTAAGGCCTTGGATAACACAGAAATTACGTTGTTACAAAATAACACTGATAACCCCTACAGTTTTTAATTAACTTTAAGAACTAGGGTGAGAGAAAAAAAATACATTTCAAGGGATGGCAGGCTACAAACATAGGATTAATATTTTAATATCTTTAAAAATTAAGTTTCTAATTTATTGTGTCTATTATACTACACCCTTAATCCAGATAACTAATTTAGACAATTATCTATCACTGTCTAATTTTTAAATGTTATTACAGTGAAAGTTGAGTTACAAGTGTAAGCAGCAATACTTTTAACTGCTGGAGGCAGTAAATGATCAAGAGCCGTAAATGATGCAAGAGCTGTAAATGATGCAGGATACACATTATTCTTCATATTCAGAGTAAAACTGCTAGTGCTGTTGACTGGTAGCCACTCATCATGACTGCTGCTAAATTGTGGGTTCAGTAAAAGATGGTCAAAAGACAAATAATTTGCTACACTGACTGTGTTTCTCTTTTCAAGTTAAAATGCCCACAGGGCCATGAAAGATTCACTTCTGTGTCAAAAACTTACAGTGGAACGGTTTGGTGTCACCTGACCAAAGCTGAAGAAATGAAGTTCATTCCATGGCAGTAGGGATGGATCTGATTACTAGTTAGTGTCTTGAACCTACAAACACACACACACACACCCACACACACACACACACACACACTTAGGTTTGGGGAATGGTCAAAAAGAAGGCTTGAAGATGCATGCTTCTTCTTGGAAAGACAACACCTTTAAATCCTCTCTCTGTGCCTGGTACTTAGCGTGATCCTTATGATTTAGACTGGCCATATTCTTCACACTGTCACAACATGTGGTGTTAGGAGTTGAGGTCTCCAGAAACTGAGACAGAGTTTGGGGAGCAGGAGGCTTCTTAGGCATTGGTACCCTGAAAAGGAAAAGTGAAGTAGAACTGGGCTGAGGGAGAAGATGAACAAAACAAGCGCTGCTCCCCAGAGTTGCCCTGTCCAGGCTCAAGTGCGCCCCACACCTCTCAAGACGAGGATCACAGTGACTGATGGAACTGCCTGGGAAGGACATGACCTTGAAGAAGCAAGCTCCCGCCCTGCAACAGCTAACTGAAGGAGCTGGCAGCTGGAGGCATACACTGGTACCCCTCCCCAGCTGGGCACAAGCCCTTCCCCCAGGGGATCTGGGCAGCTCACCACCATGTCCACCACACAGATGTGTCCCTTATTCATCCTCATTTGTGAACTTGTTTACATGAAAATCTTACCTAGGTATCAGTAGCAAATCACATTTCATTATATGTTGAATGAATTACCTTAGTAGAAAAGAATGATTTTTTTTCAAATGAATATACAATTTACTCATATATATGGCAACATTTTGATATTTTTACAACCATATTTGCCCTAGAAATTCTGTATTATAGGTTGGCTGCCTGTTTTTCTTACTTATTCAAATGTGTTTGATTAAACTCACTTATCACCACACTGTGGCAGGTGCTGTTATTAATTACAAATAAAGCCTCAGAGGAAAGTCTCTTGCCTGAGTTTCATTATCTGGGATTGACACTAGCGCCCCAAAATTGACTTTCTGTGCATAAGTGATCATGCGGAAATGTTCAAGCTGACTTTCTGCAGAGCTCTATAGCTTTGAGCCCTGAGTTAACAGAGACAGGCTCGTAAGCGGAATTGGAAGAAAACATGAATGTATCCTGAAAAGTCATGAGGATGAATGTCTAAGTGCTGATTATAGTGCGAAGAGCTACTTGGTAGCTAATATTTCCCCAAATTTATTACAAAGAAATTTATTCCTCATCAGGTCAGTCATTTAATTCACTTACTACAAAGAGTACCATCACTCTGCTGTTGGTTAAAGTCATGTACACACTGGGATCTATTTCAAGTCCCCAATGCATTTATCTGATCTCATGGTCTATCTTACACCAACCCCACATTAATATGAGTATCATGGCAAGTTCTTGTTGGCTGTTCTTATTGTTCACATTCTTCTGAACTATTTAATTTCCTACTCAAAAACTCATTTTACCCAATTTCCCCTAAAAATTTAGTTAGATTCTGATTAGAAATATATTAAATTTGTAGACTAATTTTGAAAGGACTGACTTTTCATATTAGCTATTCACCTAAGAACATTGTATACCTATCTGTGTAAATTTTGTTTCATGAGCAGGTACCACCACTTTGAAGGTCTTTTTTTTATTCTGAAATATTCTAGATTATGGACCAATCATGGATGAAGCACTTTTCCAACTCTACTTTTTATGCTTTCATTTTGATCTTCATTATTGGTCTTTGTAAACCATCTTATTAAGTTATTACTCTCTTTTTACTTAATTTCACAATTAACATTGCCATTATCTTAACCATTACACTAATCCAACTGTAAGCTCATTTGTTCCTATTCTTTATTCAGTTATAGAATTTTAATCTTCTTTTCTTTAGGGAGTTATCTTTTTAAAAAAATCTAATTTTATTTGAAAGGCAGATTTCACAACCAAAGAAGTAGAGATGGGGAAAAAGACAGCCCCCATCTGGCGGTTCACTCCCCAACTGATTTGCAATGGCCAGAGCTGAGCTGGTCTGAAGCTGGAAGCCAGGAGCTTCTTGTAGGTCTCCAACACGGGTGCAAAGTCCCAATGACTTAGACCATCCTCTGCTGCTTTCCCAGACCACAAGCAGAGATCAGAAAAGGAGCAACCAAGACACAAATCATTGTCCATATGGGATACCAGTGTCACAGGGCAGAGGATCAGTATGCTGTACTAGCCACTGTACTAGCCCCAGGTAGTAAGTTATCTTATTGGGTACATTAACATGCTATCTTCTTTCCCTGTCTATATATTCATTCTCCCTTTTATTACAGTGAATTTTTTCTTATATATAGTATATATTTAGGTTAGGAGTTCTTTTTTTCTATTTCAATCTGCCAGTCATCATTTTTATTTATTTATGTGAAAGACAAAGTAACCTTTCAGCTGGAGCCGCCATCTTCCAGTAATTCTCCAAGATGATGGGAAAGAGAGGCACCTGTCACATGTTCTCCAGGCCTTTCAGGAAACATGGAGTTGTTCCTTTGGCCACATACATACACATTTACAAGAAAGGTGACATTGTAGACATTCAGGCAATGGCTACTGTCCAAAAAGGAATGCCCCATAAATGTTATCATGGGAAAACTGAGAAGATCTACAGTGTTACCAGGTATGCTGTTGCCATTTTGTGAACAAACAAGAGCAAGATTCATGCCAAGCGAATAGATGTCCATGCTGAGCATATTAAACACGCCAAGAGCTGAGAGCAGAGATGGCTTCCTAAAAAGGGTAAAGAAAAATGATCCGAAAAAAAGGGAAATCAAAGAGAAAGATCCCTGGATGCAACTAAAGCTGTCTCATCCACCCAGAGCAGCCCACTCTGTCAGAACCAATAGAAAGGAGCCTGAGCTCTCAGAGCCCGTTCCCTAGGAATTCATGGCATAATAAACGTGAAAGAAAAAAACAAAGGACTTCTGGACTTCAAAACAAAGCAAATAAAAAGTGACAGAGAAACAGAAACAGAGCGAGCTTCCATCCACTGGCTCATTTTCCAAATACCCACAGCTGGGGCTGGGTCAAGCCAAAGCCAAGAGCCAACTGCATCTTCACATGGGTTTTCAGAACCCAAGTACCTGGACCATCTCCGATGCCTCCCAGATACATTAGTAGGAAGGCAG